TGTTTTTTTTTAAACAGAACTTTTTCTTTTTTTTAAGGAAGCCTCTGCCCATCCCAGGAGATAAATCACGATTGGTCTACATCTATGATATTCTATATAATATCATTCTTTTGGCTGACATGTTAACTCATCTTCACAACAATCCAGCTGAGAAGATACTGTCTTTTCCATGTTACTGATGGAAAACTCAGGCTCAGTGGAGCGACTGCTTTGGAACACAGATCTGACTCCCTAGTTCTTTACAATGCATTACACCACTTTTCATCTATGGGTAAATCTGTACATTTTTTAAGACTCTGGTTGTGGGTATTTTATTTTCCTATGACCTATCAGTGTGTTCTGTACGCCTCTTTCTCTATCACGCTTGACAATCTGGTTGCTCCTTAGGACGACTCACTACCTCTCAGGAACAGCTTCTAATGGGTTTTAGGAACCCCCTCACCCTCCAGACGAGCGTCTAATGACTCCCAGGATCATCTCCCCTCGTCACTGGAGCCGCTTCTAATGACCCCCAAATCCCCACTCACCGAGAAACTGCTTTTTAATGACCCTGGGGACATTCCCCCCTCAGGACCTGTCCTAATGGCCCTCAGAGCTCCTTCCCCTTCAGAAACTGTTCCCTTCATGAAATGTCCCTGTTTGCCAGCGAGTTAGGCGCTTCCCAGGACCCAGGACTTTCGGTTTCAAAAACCGAGACAGTCCCGGGCAAACCAAGACAAGCTGGTCACCTTATCAGGAACCTTTTGACTCGGGAGGGGCCCCTGAGGGCCCCCGGCACACTTCTACCTTAGGCAAGCGTTTACCCACCCACAAAAGACTGCCCCACCCTTTCGTCAGAAACATCCCACTAAAACTGCATCGCCCTTACTCTCGCCGGCCATCCCATTTCTAGGCACTCGCCTCTTTCAAGCCTAATTAACTGCGGGCGGCCAGAAGTCCGCCGAGGATTGGCCGACTCTGCTACTCAGCCGAGATATTCAGTGGCCGCGGCCCCGAGTGGTACAACGTTTCCTCCTGGCAACAGCCGGAGCCCGAGCTCATAGGTTGAGCGGGCAGAGGTGGGCTTCCGAGCAAGTGTCCTGTGTGCTCATTGGCTCTTTGCGGCTGCACAGAGTCCTCGGATTGGTTGGCTCTGGGAGGCGCTTTGCGGCTGTGCAGAGGCTGACTTTTGAGGAGGCGGAGTTCTGTCCTTCACCGGCAGGAGAGCAGTGGGACGTTTGGTGGCGACAGCAGCTGCCAGGCGCAGCCCTGCCTGGTCGCGGGCTTTACGTAAGAGCCACAGCTTTGGGGTCCTTCGGGTCTGCTGCTCCTTGTAGCAGTAGCCGCCAGCCCCAGTGGGGGAGGGGCGGGGGCTGCCTTCAGTGTGAGTGATAAGCATGTTTCTCGGCCAATGGGAGCTGGAGCTTCTAAAATAAGTCCTGAGATTGGTCTTTTCCAATCTCTTACGGCCAATAGGTGTCGGGAAGGGGGGCGGGTCTACTGGCCTTATTTTCTCCTTCCTGCGGTCCGACCTCACTCGCCTAGGCGGCGGGGCCGGGAGTGGCCTTGCCTGTTCGCGGTGAGGTTCGGGGACTTGGGAGCGGGGGGCTGCCCTGGGATCGACACCCGCGTGAGCGGCTGCAAGGGGAGGGGGCGGAAGTGAGAGGTGCTTGTGGGCAACTGCTACCTTTATTGAGTAGTTAAGTACCAGGCCTAGTGCTTAGCGTTTCGCTTGCATCATCTTGAGTTAGTCACAGCAATCATGCAGGGTAAGGAGGTTGGGATCCCCCATTTTACAGTTGGAGAAACTGAGACTCCGGCTACTCACACGGCTAAGGTCAAACCGCTAATAAATGGCTAAGACCAGATAATGTATTCAGAGTTGTTTGGACTCGGTGCCGATGCTCTTAAACCACTAGGCTTTGTTGCTGGATGGGGAAGAATAGGGGAAGGAAGATGCCAGGGAACAGGAGCTCTCCCTAAGGAATAGATTGGGGGAAGGGAATCCTAGCATTGAAGAATTGGGGGAAGGGAATCCTAGCATTGAAGAAAGGGAAGGAGCAACTGAGGTAGGGTGACGGAAATCAGTTACTCGACAGTTACTGAGTTGCCTGCTCTGTGCTGTGCATTGTTCTAGGTTGCAGGCACACAAAAATGAGTAAGGCCAGAAGCAGATGAAGCCCCATTAGGGACTTATAAGGCCTGGGTATTGGCCCTAACATGTGTTTACATGATTGTATATTTTTGTAAAATTTGCGCGAAAGTAAGATATTTTGTATTATTTTTTGAAAAGAGGGTCTTCTGGTACACTTCACATTCTTTACACGTGGATCTATCCTTGCAAACGGTTTAGTGTAGATGGAGATGATGATGTAGACAGCGTACAGTAATGGAGGGAACACTAGGAGTGGATTATAGTACTGTGAGCAAATTTCCTGGTATGTAAAACGGATAACAGTATACCTGCCAGGCAAAGTTTTGGCAAGGTGCATGAAAAGTGACTGGCTGGGAACACACTTTGTTTTTGGTGAAATGAATGTCTTGGAGATGTGGATATCGGGGCTTGTCTTTTTACCTACCTTCGACACTTCTGCTCCATGCTGACTTTGCACTGTGCAACTAGATTGCTGGAAGCTTGGAGGCAGTTTCCTTCCTTCTGAGTGTTCCAGCTCTCAGGGAGGACTCTTGGAACTGAACTGCCATGGCTTTGGGGCCCAGACTGGGGGAGCTCAGTAGAGGAAAGGACAGAATGCTTTTGCTTCTAAGCTGGAGTCGTTTAGCTGGTATACTTGGTTCTTATTAAGTCGAAGTTGTCTCTTGTGTCACCAGGCAATGGGGATGCTTCCACTTAGCTGAAGGCCTCATCTAGAAACAAAGTATTTATTTCACCTTTTCCAGTGAGTTTAGATATTTTCCCCGTATTGACAGTTTGTTACCTGTTTAAATTTTGTCCTTTGAGTTCTGGGTACAGTGCAATTGAGCTAGTTTCTGGTTTGAAACTGTGGTTTGGTTGAGATAAGAGAACAGTTGCACTTTAGGGTTTTAAAAATCCTAGGTCTTGCTACTAATATCTGAGTACTTTTGTAGCTCTTAAATTTTGTAATCTTGTAGCCAAGTAAGTAACTTTTCTTAGGAATCTGTAATTCTGTTTTACGACTCTGCCCTGGAAGGGAGCCCATAGATTGTTTTTTATACCTGGTTGTAATATGTGTGGTAGTCCAAAAAGCAATTATCAAGGTATGAAATAAAGGAGCACCTTGAAAAGACAAGGGTTAAATATGGGTGGGGCAGCTGTATTGTTAGATAGGGCCAACAACCAAATAATTAGTTTTCCTTTTTTTTTTTCAGTATATACATTTTTTTTGTTTTATTTATTTTATTTTTATTTTTTGTTATCATTAATCTACAATTACATGCAGAACATTATGTTTACTAGGCTCCCCCCTTCACCAATAGTTTTCCTTTTTTAGATGAAACAATGTCTCCATTTAAATGAGATTTGAATACATTTAGTTTTGACACATCAGATTCTTTTCAGCAGAACCTTTTCTATCTGTATTTGTTTTTCATCTAACCTGCCTAGAGGCAGATTCCCGGTGCGAGGTTTTAATGCTTCAGAATTTCTACTGCTACCTAATAATCCACCATGCAGATGTTAATTACATAAGTGAATTAAATCTTTTTATTTTTATTGTGAGCATTGACTATTTGGTGCCATACACTAGTGCCATCTCCTCCTTCACTGTCCTCAATTGATCAACTTTTCTTTCTTTTCTCTACAAGTCCAGAAGTTTAATACATTCAATTTCTATTTAGTCAATGGTTCCCTTATATGTTTAATATAATCATAATACATCTACCTTCCCCAAAATATAAATGCCCTAACCCTTGTTTTTTTTTAAACAGAACTTTTTCTTTTTTTTAAGGAAGCCTCTGCCCATCCCAGGAGATAAATCACGATTGGTCTACATCTATGATATTCTATATAATATCATTCTTTTGGCTGACATGTTAACTCATCTTCACAACAATCCAGCTGAGAAGATACTGTCTTTTCCATGTTACTGATGGAAAACTCAGGCTCAGTGGAGCGACTGCTTTGGAACACAGATCTGACTCCCTAGTTCTTTACAATGCATTACACCACTTTTCATCTATGGGTAAATCTGTACATTTTTTAAGACTCTGGTTGTGGGTATTTTATTTTCCTATGACCTATCAGTGTGTTCTGTACGCCTCTTTCTCTATCACGCTTGACAATCTGGTTGCTCCTTAGGACGACTCACTACCTCTCAGGAACAGCTTCTAATGGGTTTTAGGAACCCCCTCACCCTCCAGACGAGCGTCTAATGACTCCCAGGATCATCTCCCCTCGTCACTGGAGCCGCTTCTAATGACCCCCAAATCCCCACTCACCGAGAAACTGCTTTTTAATGACCCTGGGGACATTCCCCCCTCAGGACCTGTCCTAATGGCCCTCAGAGCTCCTTCCCCTTCAGAAACTGTTCCCTTCATGAAATGTCCCTGTTTGCCAGCGAGTTAGGCGCTTCCCAGGACCCAGGACTTTCGGTTTCAAAAACCGAGACAGTCCCGGGCAAACCAAGACAAGCTGGTCACCTTATCAGGAACCTTTTGACTCGGGAGGGGCCCCTGAGGGCCCCCGGCACACTTCTACCTTAGGCAAGCGTTTACCCACCCACAAAAGACTGCCCCACCCTTTCGTCAGAAACATCCCACTAAAACTGCATCGCCCTTACTCTCGCCGGCCATCCCATTTCTAGGCACTCGCCTCTTTCAAGCCTAATTAACTGCGGGCGGCCAGAAGTCCGCCGAGGATTGGCCGACTCTGCTACTCAGCCGAGATATTCAGTGGCCGCGGCCCCGAGTGGTACAACGTTTCCTCCTGGCAACAGCCGGAGCCCGAGCTCATAGGTTGAGCGGGCAGAGGTGGGCTTCCGAGCAAGTGTCCTGTGTGCTCATTGGCTCTTTGCGGCTGCACAGAGTCCTCGGATTGGTTGGCTCTGGGAGGCGCTTTGCGGCTGTGCAGAGGCTGACTTTTGAGGAGGCGGAGTTCTGTCCTTCACCGGCAGGAGAGCAGTGGGACGTTTGGTGGCGACAGCAGCTGCCAGGCGCAGCCCTGCCTGGTCGCGGGCTTTACGTAAGAGCCACAGCTTTGGGGTCCTTCGGGTCTGCTGCTCCTTGTAGCAGTAGCCGCCAGCCCCAGTGGGGGAGGGGCGGGGGCTGCCTTCAGTGTGAGTGATAAGCATGTTTCTCGGCCAATGGGAGCTGGAGCTTCTAAAATAAGTCCTGAGATTGGTCTTTTCCAATCTCTTACGGCCAATAGGTGTCGGGAAGGGGGGCGGGTCTACTGGCCTTATTTTCTCCTTCCTGCGGTCCGACCTCACTCGCCTAGGCGGCGGGGCCGGGAGTGGCCTTGCCTGTTCGCGGTGAGGTTCGGGGACTTGGGAGCGGGGGGCTGCCCTGGGATCGACACCCGCGTGAGCGGCTGCAAGGGGAGGGGGCGGAAGTGAGAGGTGCTTGTGGGCAACTGCTACCTTTATTGAGTAGTTAAGTACCAGGCCTAGTGCTTAGCGTTTCGCTTGCATCATCTTGAGTTAGTCACAGCAATCATGCAGGGTAAGGAGGTTGGGATCCCCCATTTTACAGTTGGAGAAACTGAGACTCCGGCTACTCACACGGCTAAGGTCAAACCGCTAATAAATGGCTAAGACCAGATAATGTATTCAGAGTTGTTTGGACTCGGTGCCGATGCTCTTAAACCACTAGGCTTTGTTGCTGGATGGGGAAGAATAGGGGAAGGAAGATGCCAGGGAACAGGAGCTCTCCCTAAGGAATAGATTGGGGGAAGGGAATCCTAGCATTGAAGAATTGGGGGAAGGGAATCCTAGCATTGAAGAAAGGGAAGGAGCAACTGAGGTAGGGTGACGGAAATCAGTTACTCGACAGTTACTGAGTTGCCTGCTCTGTGCTGTGCATTGTTCTAGGTTGCAGGCACACAAAAATGAGTAAGGCCAGAAGCAGATGAAGCCCCATTAGGGACTTATAAGGCCTGGGTATTGGCCCTAACATGTGTTTACATGATTGTATATTTTTGTAAAATTTGCGCGAAAGTAAGATATTTTGTATTATTTTTTGAAAAGAGGGTCTTCTGGTACACTTCACATTCTTTACACGTGGATCTATCCTTGCAAACGGTTTAGTGTAGATGGAGATGATGATGTAGACAGCGTACAGTAATGGAGGGAACACTAGGAGTGGATTATAGTACTGTGAGCAAATTTCCTGGTATGTAAAACGGATAACAGTATACCTGCCAGGCAAAGTTTTGGCAAGGTGCATGAAAAGTGACTGGCTGGGAACACACTTTGTTTTTGGTGAAATGAATGTCTTGGAGATGTGGATATCGGGGCTTGTCTTTTTACCTACCTTCGACACTTCTGCTCCATGCTGACTTTGCACTGTGCAACTAGATTGCTGGAAGCTTGGAGGCAGTTTCCTTCCTTCTGAGTGTTCCAGCTCTCAGGGAGGACTCTTGGAACTGAACTGCCATGGCTTTGGGGCCCAGACTGGGGGAGCTCAGTAGAGGAAAGGACAGAATGCTTTTGCTTCTAAGCTGGAGTCGTTTAGCTGGTATACTTGGTTCTTATTAAGTCGAAGTTGTCTCTTGTGTCACCAGGCAATGGGGATGCTTCCACTTAGCTGAAGGCCTCATCTAGAAACAAAGTATTTATTTCACCTTTTCCAGTGAGTTTAGATATTTTCCCCGTATTGACAGTTTGTTACCTGTTTAAATTTTGTCCTTTGAGTTCTGGGTACAGTGCAATTGAGCTAGTTTCTGGTTTGAAACTGTGGTTTGGTTGAGATAAGAGAACAGTTGCACTTTAGGGTTTTAAAAATCCTAGGTCTTGCTACTAATATCTGAGTACTTTTGTAGCTCTTAAATTTTGTAATCTTGTAGCCAAGTAAGTAACTTTTCTTAGGAATCTGTAATTCTGTTTTACGACTCTGCCCTGGAAGGGAGCCCATAGATTGTTTTTTATACCTGGTTGTAATATGTGTGGTAGTCCAAAAAGCAATTATCAAGGTATGAAATAAAGGAGCACCTTGAAAAGACAAGGGTTAAATATGGGTGGGGCAGCTGTATTGTTAGATAGGGCCAACAACCAAATAATTAGTTTTCCTTTTTTTTTTTCAGTATATACATTTTTTTTGTTTTATTTATTTTATTTTTATTTTTTGTTATCATTAATCTACAATTACATGCAGAACATTATGTTTACTAGGCTCCCCCCTTCACCAATAGTTTTCCTTTTTTAGATGAAACAATGTCTCCATTTAAATGAGATTTGAATACATTTAGTTTTGACACATCAGATTCTTTTCAGCAGAACCTTTTCTATCTGTATTTGTTTTTCATCTAACCTGCCTAGAGGCAGATTCCCGGTGCGAGGTTTTAATGCTTCAGAATTTCTACATTTTTTACTATTTAAACACTGACATTCCCAGCATTTAATTTTAATTTCATTTTATCTAATTTAATGCTTTAAATTATTTCTTCAGATTCCTGGCTGACCAAAGTGACCTCAAAAAGGAGGGAAAATGGCTTCTGAATCTGAAACCCTGAATCCCAGTGCTCGGATAATGACCTTTTATCCCACCGTGGAGGAGTTTCGGAACTTCAGTCGATATATTGCCTACATTGAATCCCAGGGAGCTCATCGGGCTGGGCTGGCCAAGGTGAGGAATGAATGGGATTGTTCAATGTGGCCTTCAGGACAGAGGGCAGTAGTACTGTTTTACTAAATGAAGGCTGAAAACTTGTGTTTTACCGAAAGTCGGAAGGTGATGAGTGTATGCTATTTGCAAGTTAATTCCTTTCTCATTAACATCTGAAGCATCTCTCTTTTAGGTCTAAAGGGAGCTGCTTGGAGTCTTTAATAGGGAGGTAAAGAGCCAGTGTCCCCAGGCCTGCTGCTGGAGAGCTTCCTTGCTCAGGGTGGAGATGGGTGCCTTAATGTCTGTAACTGTTATGGAGTGCTGTGCTATCCAACTGCCCTTGTTCTCTGCAGTCTCATCCAGCATTCTGATAGTAATTGGGCTTCCCAAGTGGGCTTTTTGTTGATTGAGAGACAATCAATTCTTCAGCCTTCTCTCGGTGTGCAGATGAGATACTGAGTCTGAGAATTGAGTATTCCTTACCTTAGGTCAGTGCCCCTAGGCAGCTAGTTGGTGGCAGGCCTGGATCAAGGTTAGCTGCTGTGCTGAGGTGAGCCTGGTTAAATTAACTTTCTAGTCAAGTTGATTGTTAGGTTGATAGCATTCTACACACTTCCTGGACTCTAACCAGCTTGCCAGATTTCTGATCTCTCTGCTGCTTGTGTCCCCTACAGGTTGTTCCCCCAAAAGAGTGGAAGCCACGAGTATCCTATGATGATATTGATGATCTGGTCATTCCTGCTCCCATCCAACAGCTGGTGACTGGGCAGTCTGGCCTCTTTACTCAATACAACATACAAAAGAAAGCCATGACTGTTCGAGAGTTCCGCAAAATAGCCAACAGTGATAAGTGAGTGAAAACAAGTTCCCTCCCGCCTGTCATAGCATCTGGGGCCTAACAGCTCATTCTCATAGCTATCTCCAGGACTGCTATCCTACTGAAGAACAGCACATCATCTCTAGCTTCTGTCTCCTTTTCTGCACTTTTTTTAATGAAAGCATGTCTCTCCACTCGGTGTCACAATCTAAACTTGTCTATATTCTTACATAAAGTAATCACATTGTTCTCCCATCAGAAGTAGAATCATTTCCTGACACTGGTGGTAAGTTGCAAAGTTTTAAAGGAAAAAGTTGGAGTTGGTTCAAAAGGAGCTTTTGCCATGTGTATTGCTACTACCTGCTTATCACAAAGTGGGTTTAGTAGTTTAAATTAGTCTTTTCCTTCTGGGTCCTTCTGTCTGTATTTGTGCTCAGTCTCCTCACTACCTATCAAGTCACTATCTCCTTTCCATTTTGACATTGACAAAATGTGAATAAACTATCAGGCTGGTTACTGTTTTTTATCACTCTATTTTTCATCATCTGCGTATTCTTGTCTTTGTTAGAAACATCTTTCTTTGTTTAGGCTTGCTGCCTTCAGTTGTTTTTCTCTGTTTTTAATATTTAGCTCTCATTTGACCTCAGATTTGCAGAGAATGAATTGTTTCCCTTCTTTAGCTCTGACTGCTCCTTCTTAATTCTCTTGGATCTTCTCCCTTCCCATGTTACTCCTCAATTTTGAGTTTCCACAAGGGACTCCTCTCTTGCTTTTTTTTCCTAAGCGTTTTTGATCTATGCATGTCTTGATTTCAGCCGTTCAGACATAGTGTGCCTTCACTGTGAGCAAGCCCAGAGTAGACCTTTAGTTTGCCAGTCTCCACACTTTGGGGCGTCACCTCGTGTGCTTTATCATCTCTCTCTCAGATACGATCTTGCACATTCTGTTTCTGCATTTTGCCTGCTTTTTCTTTGACTTATCATAATTCTAAGTGTGATCTTTCAGTTTTATTGGCAACTTAACTCTTAAAACATTTGTAGTGCTGGCCATCCTGCTGTCTGAGGAAAGAGAATTTATGTAAAAGCATTTTTGAGGAAGTGTGACGTTCTGTAGATGAAAGATTGTGTCATCCTTGATGTCTGATGTCTCACTATGCACTGGGGCCAGACACACCTGTTTCACATGGGGCTCCACTAGGGTCCTCAGCCTCCCCTGTGTCTGTCTGCTTTTCTTATCAACATATGGTCAACCTTTTCTTCTTTTGGAATACCTGTTTGCTTTTTAAATCTGCCAGTCCCATGTCTTTTCCCTTCATCCCAAGTGCAGTAAATTCTTGCCCCTTGACTTCTATCTGCATGGTAAGCCAGCTGAAAGAAAACCCAGTAGGAAAACCTAAATTTATAAAGCAGATCAGTTCGAAGTAGAAGTTACTTATATTTGAAAGGGAACTTTAGAGTTCTAAGCTTTATTATTGATGAGGCTGACATTAAAATGTAAGGCAGTATTTAAGATTTTTTTCTCATTCATCCCATTATCTCTACACCATTTCATTTCAGTCTTCATTTCCCCTCTTTATCCACTTATAATATTTTTTGCCATTTGAGGTATAGTGTGCATTTTCAAATACCTGTTAGGTTTACACATTACTCTTTTTAAATTGCTTTAAATAATTTTTAACTGGTTTAAATTCTTTAAAAGTTGTTTTGGAGGAGTAAAGTCTCAGTATGTGGTTACTGAACTGGAGCATAAATACTTTTAATGGCTTTATATACACGTGTGTATATGTATGTGAGTGTGTGCCTATATTATTTTCTCAATGGAACATTTGACATGCAAAAATACATTTTTACATTTTTGGGAATATTTTATGTTTTTTATTAGATACTTGTTTTTAAGCATGATGATTTGTTAAATGTTAGCTATTGCATGGGGTGTTGAAATGTAGCAGTGACAGTGTAAATAGGCCCCTTTGTGGGGGGTCCCTTCCTCTAGGGAAATGCAGGGAAGTTACTGCTCTTCCAGGGCCTCAGCTCTTAACATGCTAGTGGGTTTTGGTTGTTTATGTATATATAGGAATTTGCAGTTCCTGGTTCTCACGAATTTATAAACCTGTTTTCTCCCTGGGTGGCCAGGCTACTCCTGACTCTAGGAGGGTGTCATTTTAGTAGAGTCTTGAAAGAAGTGAGGATGTCATGATTCTTAAGGGAGGTGGGCTTCTTCATATTTATTACCTTCCTCTGGCCCAGCACTCCTGGAAGGGATAGTGAGGGAGTAACTGTTCCAGAACCTTGAAGGCCAAGATTACATCTTGTTCATTTGAAATGTCTTGTGGTCACTGGAACAGGGGATTATGTCTTATGCTATTTATAATGTCTGATGAATTTAGTCCCATGTAAGTACTTAACTTTCTTTACTTTTGAAAGGTACTGTACCCCACGCTATAATGAGTTTGAAGAACTTGAACGGAAATACTGGAAAAACCTCACATTCAATCCACCAATCTATGGTGCTGATGTGAATGGCACCCTCTATGAAAAGGTGAGACTCGCTGGAAACTGCTGCATTTCTGTCATTTTGTAATTTAATACCACTTTTATCTGCCCAGCACATAGTAGGCACCTAAGAGCTGTTTGCTGAATGGGTGGTTGAACAAAGGAATAATCCACCACCAGCTGATGTGCTGAGCTCACTGAATTGTGGGTAGTTTTGCATGTGACTGAACTTTATTTCTCCCACTCTACATGTGAATTGGGTGATGTGATGTTCTTTGCAAGGGCTGTTAGAATAGTCCGTGGGTGGTAGCTGATGAGTTCTTGAAAGAGTGGGATCACAGTAAATGAAATGTTGGGGGAGAGGATGTGTGGCTTCTGAAGAAAAAAGATCACTGACTAAGCTGATGAAAGGGGTATGTATTTAATTTAGATTTTTCAGAACCCTCAAAACAAGATCCTGTAGCAAAAGCTGCTTTAACAAATTGTATCAGCCTGGGGATATAGTGCTTTTTGGCTTGAAAGATAGCCTTAGATACAAGGAAGGAACATTTGGGACTGTTTGGATGATTAAAAAAATCTATAGGATGTTTCAGGGATTATCACTCAGATTAATTTGAATGTTTCTGTAAATTATTGGAAGAAGAGTTTAAAAAGTGGATTACAGGTTTGTTGATAACAATTTTTTGGGTGTCTGAAGTGAAGCTTATAGCCCGTAAACAGCAGGAAGATGCTGTCGGGATCTAGGATGAGGGTGTTGCAAAGGCAGGGCCCAGTCATCCAGAACATACTTCAGCAAGTAGGCTCCTAGTTGACCCTTACAAGTCAGGAAAAAGTTTTGGGTGACATGACTTTTTACCAAGATGCTATCCAGTGGAAATGGGGATTAGAAAAGTCACAAATTAGTATAATTAATTCCCATGTTTTGTATTTTTTATAGTTTATGGGTTCTTTCCGATTTTAACCTAAGTTTCTTTAGCTTCAGTTCAGACTCTTCTTCCTGGGGTATGGAACAGGTGGCCATCCCCTCCTTACTCATCTTTCATGTACTAGTGTTCTTCGCCAAGTGGTAGTTGCCCTTTGGGAGGTAAAATGGCATCAGTTCCAGGGTTGCTGTGGGCCTCATGCCCATGCTGTTTTGACATTATTCCACAGTTTTGTTAGAGGTGATAGTTCACCTCTGAAGCCCCCATGAATCTTAGGTTCAGTGTGTCAGTTTATATTCAGTTTAATTGCCCTGGGCTGTCATTTCCTCTGCAGCATGTTGACGAGTGGAATATTGGCCGGCTGAAAACAATCCTGGATTTGGTGGAAAAGGAGAGTGGGATCACCATTGAGGGTGTGAACACCCCATACCTGTACTTTGGCATGTGGAAGACATCCTTTGCTTGGCATACTGAGGACATGGACCTGTACAGCATTAATTACCTGCACTTCGGAGAACCAAAGTCCTGGTAAAGTCAGCCCACAGTTGGCACTGGGGCTTCTGAGGGCTTGAGTGGGGCTTCCCAGCCTTAATGTGCATAGGAACTGGGGATCTGCTTAAAATGCAGATTTGTCCACTAGGCTTGGGGTGGGGACTGGCATTTCACATCTTAAACAGACTTTCAAGTGGTAGAACTCAGGCCACTCTTGGAACAAGGCTTTAGAGGGCAGGGTACTTAATACTATTGTATGAAAACTAAGTTGGCTGAATTACTGAGAACCACAGAGGCTATCCTAGGCTATCCCATTGCTTTCTAATTTCTTTTTCTGAACAGGCCTGAGGCATTTCTTAGAGGCAGACTTCCAAGACTGGAGTCACTCCTTCAGATGATAGAAAGCTTTCTTTTCCTCATGGAAAAAATACTTGGTGAGCAGCAATGTGTGCCTAACCCAAGAGGAGAGGCAAGGCTGCTCAGCATCAGCTTCTTGCTCTCCAGGATGTTCTCAGTCTAGTTGGGAGACAAAGATTTGTTGTGTGTCTCCTCTCCCTGCACTGATCCACCCCTGTCTCTGCATTTTAGTGAAGGTAATGCATTCAACAGCAGTGGACAGGACCGATGAGACACCTGTCCTCTCACGGATGGGAGACTGGTCAGGAGATAGAAAGTGAGAAAGGTATTCAGTGTGAGAAAAGCTCTGATGGGGAATAGTGGGTGCTGTAGGTTCCCTTAGGAAGGGTATGTGAGGGTGGGGTGGGGTGGGGTGGGAGGGGATTAGAAGAGGTGACAACTAAGTGAGACCAAACAAACGGGGAGGATGCAGCTGGGTGGGATGGTGGTGGGTTTAGGAGGGGGCGATACTGAGGGAGGTATGTCCAGCTGGTTGGAGCAACACATGCAGAGATCCTAAGCTGAGAGAGGGCACGATCGATGTCTCTAGAGGAGTCCCTTGTGTTTTGGGCGCTGTGTATAATAAGGATGTAAGAGTGAAGAAGCTGGAGGGGGTGCCATGGGCTGGGTCCTGGGGAGTTGTGGAAACCATATCCATCTTCATTTCCTTTTCTAGCATCACCAGCCACATCCTTTCCCAGGGGTTTCCCATTTGTAATCTTGGGTGGTAGTGGTGAACCTTCTGAACCTGTGATTGCCCCTAACCACCATCCCCTGTCCTGTCTTAGATGACTAGACCTCTAGCATCTCCACATGTAGATTTTGTGTCTTCAGCATATTCACTCCAAAGTTCCCTGAAGTTGGACTTCTATTCTGTGTCAAGCGGTTTTCTAGTTACGTACACTCTTTAGGTCATCTGAAGTAGGACCTCCAGAAACTTCTGAGCTCGGTTGCCTGATGGATCCCAAAGTCCTTTAGGTGACATTTTCCCCAATGCCTCTTCTGTTTTGTTTCATACTGAAGCTATTTGGGGTGAGAAGTTTCTGTTTTTGTGAAATAATCTTTAGAATAGATTTATAAAGGTTAAAATAGACTTACTGTGAATTTCAGAATATAATGTTTAACAGTTTTGTGTAAGTTTTAAATAGTCTAATATGTTTTTTTCTCTTCTGTTTCTTATGAAAGCAATTTCTGTGGTGTCTAGACACCCTTTGGGGTGGAGGAATAATTATTGGGTAACCAGCATAGCTATGGAAATGAAGGGAAGGTGGGTTCATCAGTGGATGTGGGGCCAGGTCTCTGTTATCTAATCCACCTCACCTTATTTTCCAGTCTTCCTCTCTCCTGTCCCAGTTAGGGCTTTCAGGCTCTGCCAAGAGCACTTTAATGCTGACTTTCTTTTTTAAAAAATTGTGTTGCATGAACATCGTTATAAAGGAAAGCAACATTGAGTGCATACCATAAGCCCAAACTCCTGGTAAATACTCAGTAAATGTCTTGTTATGTGAATTAATTTGAAAGAGATAAACTCACACTTCCCTGCAAGCTCCCCACTTCTCTGCCCAGAGAGTCTAATATTCCTTTCTCCAGATTCTAGTTTAAATCTGAGATTTTGTGCTGTTTTAAGAGTGGGCATGAACCCCTAGCTCCTATTCTGTCTCCTGCTCAGTGTCCGATGCTTGCATGTGATTGCAGGTACTCCGTTCCCCCTGAGCATGGAAAGCGATTGGAGCGCCTTGCCAAAGGTACTGTGTGTCTCCTTCCTGTTCTGGGTCAGACCCTAGTGTGACAGCCATGCTGAGTGCTATAAATGTGCAGATTTTTAAGTGTCCTTTCTCAGGCTTGCTTGTGGCAGGTGAGCTGGACTGCCAAATTGGTTACCCTAGCAGAGCGACTAAAATCAGAGCCCTTCCCCACTTGATCCTTGGAAGGGACTTCGTGACTCAGTTTTATCAAGTATGGGTTTATTTGACTAGGAATAATGTACCAGTCATGCTAGGTCTGGTTCTCAGCCAAAAACCTAAATGTTTAAGTCAAAATTAAATTATTTATGTTTTGTTTTTCTTTTAATTGGACTTTACTAGACTATCTTTAGAGAGCCTATTTCAAGAGAGCTTGGGTAGTCTGCACTGTAAGTGTACTACTAGCAAAAGATTGAGGATACAGGTGAATGGAGAAAGGTCCTAAATGGTTTTAAAACTCTTCATTAGAACAGAGGCAGCTTGGGTGGTCTCAGTCCTCCAAACTGAATTTGTGAACCACGGAACAGCCTACATGGGAGAGCCCAGAAGCTCATTGTAGGATCTTAGCTTGAATTCAGAAGACTCTATGGAGATCACATTGTGATTTGCCACGGGTGTGAGGTAGCTCCAGCGTTATGGAGCTGTGTATTAACCTGAGCACATTTTCAATGCACAGGCTTTTTTCCAGGAAGTGCTCAAAGCTGCGAGGCTTTTCTCCGCCATAAGATGACCCTGATTTCCCCTTTAATGCTGAAGAAATACGGAATTCCCTTTGACAAGGTGAGCTCATTTTACAAATTGAAGTCTTTAGATTTACCTAGGAACCACCCAGTGGTTTGTTTCACAGAGGGGCTTTATTCTAGTTCATCTGTCTACCAGGTATGGGCCAAAGCTGACCTAGCAGCAACACTTTGATCTAAAGGCTTTAAGGCTGGGGCTACTGTATCTTCTCTGTGCCAAGGAGATTCAAACCCCTTGAACAGTGTTAATCTGGAGGAATGGCTGATTAATTATAGGGTCAGTAAGTTAGGGCTTTGCATTTTACAGAAGACACTAAGACCTCTGGTTCTACGACTTAGCTTGGCTGCTCAGCTAAGTTGTGGCAGAGCTGGAGCTCAGAGTTCCAGTTCTGTAGGCTCCTGCCATGTGATGCAGCTGCTTCAAGTCTGCTCTTGTTCAGGTGACTCAAGAAGCGGGAGAGTTTATGATCACTTTCCCTTATGGTTACCATGCCGGCTTTAACCATGGCTTCAATTGTGCGGAGTCTACCAATTTTGCCACCCGGCGGTGGATTGAGTATGGCAAACAAGCTGTGCTGGTAAGTCTGCCTGATTTCTTCCTGTAACGCCATGACTACTAATGCCTGTTTGAGCAAATTCTTGTTAGATACACTAGTTAATGATAACATTGCTTTGAACTGCTAGAATCCAGAAACAAAGGGGCAGAGAAGGTGCAAAAGCACCAGCGTCTTGTGTTAGTAAAGCATTTTTATAAGTCTGTTCAGATTTGGGACATATAAAGTGAGGTTTTCATGCATAAGTCCATTAAGATTAAAACCCCACCAACACACATTGGTATTTCTTGCTTTAGCTCCTCAGGGATTTCTCTATTGAGAAATTCTTTGGGGTTTACTTGCTTTAGGGAACCAGTGGGGCTGAACATTTGACCAGGAGTAGCCTCACAGATGTGTTCCTGGCTTGGATAGATAACAAAGGGAAGGGGGGTCTAAGTGCAGAGCTTCATCCCTGACGATTCTCCACGCACCCTGGTTAGAGCCCAGGTGGACTCAGCGCAGTGCCATGTGTTTTCTGCCCTTGTTTCCCTGCTTCCCTCCATGTTTGAAGGCTCTGCAAGGACAATATGCCTCAGCTGCCGAACCCAAACAGTTTGGCTTTAAACTGTCTTGTGTCTTTTTCCACTTGGAGGAGGTGGGGCCTGGGGTCTGGTGGAAGCAGCTGAGGTGTGCTCACCTGGAGCCATACCGTTTGCTTGTGGCAGTGCTCCTGTAGAAAGGACATGGTAAAGATCTCCATGGATGTGTTTGTGAGGAAGTTCCAGCCAGAAAGGTACAAACTTTGGAAAGCTGGAAAGGACAGCACAGTTATTGACCATACTCTGCCCACGCCGGAAGCTGCTGAGTTTCTGAAGGAGAGCGAACTGCTCCCAAGAGCCAAGAGTGAGGAGGCATGCCCAGAGGAGGGTGACATGGAAGGGGCTGAGGACGGAGAGGACGGCGACCTGAGGAGAAGGTAACCCAGCAGCCCTCTGGGCCCGGCTGTGTAAGGGAGAGCTGTCTGGGCAGCTCCCATTCCTAAGTGGGGCGTTTGATGTACAGCTGAGCGAATTTTCCTCTGAGTGAGTGTGTTGAAGCCCTTTTGACTGATACTCAGGAATGCTAGCAGCTATATGTGGGACTGTAGTCTGTCTGCTGGAGGGTCATAATTGTGCATGGGCCTGGCTCCCTTTCCACCGGAAAAAGTCACATTTCTTGTCCTCAATGAGACCTTTTTAAAAAGGAGAGTGTGGTGATGGGAACGAGACTCATAAGGGCAGGGAGTTGGTGTGGTGAAAGTCATACAGCGTTGTCTGAGCCAGAGCCAGAGTGTCTGTCCTGGGGAGGGATTATCCAGGGCCATATGTGGCAGAAAGGAGGCACTTATGGGGGACCTACTCCATGCCAGGTGTTCTGTGTACTTTAAGTCTCATCAAATCTGTGAGGAGTGGTGAAATCCTAGTTTTCCATTGATGTGACAGGTTCAGAGTGTGAAGTCCTTTGTCTCAGGTCCCACAGACAAGAGGTGGCACTGAAGTGTAAAGCAGGCCTGATAGGCTGGGGCCATTCATTTTAAGTTGTGTGTGGATGTGTTTGTGTGTGTGTAAGTGGATGCATACATGGGCTCTTCAAAGTTTGCCCTTTTCCTTGCAGTCTAGCCAAGCACCGCATAGGGACAAAGAGGCACCGAGTTTGTCTTGAAATACCGCAGGAGGTGAGTCAGAGTGAGCTCTTCCCCAAGGAGGAGCTGAGTCCCGGACAGTATGATATGACGGAGTGCCCGGCTGCCCTTGCTCCTGTGAGGCCCACCCATAGCTCTGTGCGGCAAGTCGAGGACGGTCTTACCTTCCCAGGTTAGTTGGTTATGGTGTGTTTTCCCACACCTAAATGTGTTCTCTTCTATGTTAGATGCCATGTTGAGGGTAGGGGCACAGATAGGGAATGGGAGAGACCCGTCTGTGAGCAGTTGGTATAATTGAAGTTTGAATCGGTGTGAGGAGGGCTTTGGATGGGGACCCAAGGTGGACTAGGGAATTAGAGGAAAGGCCCCCTCCCTCTGCCTATGAGGGGTCAGGAGAACACCGAAGTGACAATAAGCCAGCTTTTACAAGATAAGTAGGAATTTTCCAGGCAGACAGAGAATGGCGGACACAGGGAACCCGGAGAGGAATAGCAGGGGCAAAGGCACGGGGATGTGAATGACACAGACTCAGGGGACTGGTAGTGGTTTTCTGTCATTTGAACATAGAGGTAGGTGGAAGACAGCTGAGTTACCAGGAGATAGGGTTAGAGTAAGAGCAGTAAGAGCAGGTAGGGACCGCCTGCCATCTTCAGAGCTTGCTCCTTGGAGACTTGAGGAAGCACTTGCAGTTTGGGAAGGGAATGGTATGGCCAGATAGTCTGAGAGTAAGTCACCTCATGGTTGTTGAGGGTAGATTTACTAGGGAGGGACTTGTGTCAGTCTCAGGTCAGTCTTGAAGAATCTCCAAGCAGACGATACCTTTGTATATCTGTTGACAGTCTGATGGCACCATGAACTCACGCCCAGGGGCCAGACTGCCTTCTGTTCAGATGTTCTAGCTGGGGTGCCTTTATTTCCTGTGGGAGACTTCTGAGGAAATGGAAGCTGCCACTTCCTGGGGGTCTGTTGTGTGCCAGGCTATGCTCCCATTGCAGTGTAGACAGCATTCTTGTTTAAGAACCCTGGAGATAGGTGGTAGTATCTTCACACAACAGAGGAGGAAACTGGACACCCAGAGAGGCTAAGCAGTTAGCCCCAGGTCACACAGGGCCTGTCACGTGCCACAGCCGGGCCTCACACGCTGTCCGTGTTCTTTGTGCCTCTCTCTGCCTTCCTTCAAGTTCAGAAGTGCAGGAAGAAGTTGGCTCTGTCCAATGTGTATGTGTTTCAGATTATTCTGACTCTACTGAAGTCAAATTTGAAGAGCTTAAAAACGTCAAACTAGAAGAGGAGGAGGAGGAGGAGGAGGAGGAGGAGGAACAAGAAGTGGCTGCCTTGGATCTTTCTGTGAATCCTGCTTCTTTAGGGGGACGCCTTGTCTTCTCGGGTTCCAAAAAGAAGTCGTCATCTAGCCTGGGCTCCAGTTCTTCACAGGATTCTGTTTCTTCTGATTCAGAAACTAGTGAGCCTCTATCCTGCCGAGCCCAAGGGCAAATGGGAGTTCTCACTGTGCACAGCTATGCCAAAGGGGACAACAGGGTCGCCATGGGAGAGCCATGCCTGAGGAAGAAAGGGGGCGCCAGCGGAAGTGTCAGCGAGCGGGAGCTGGCTGAGGTATGAGCTCGGGGCAGTGGGCGGGTAGGTGCTGCCCTGGAAGGGGTCCTGGGGTGCTGGGCATGGGCACTGCAGGTGTCCAGGTTGGCAGGAGACCCCTCGGAATGGGCCTCCGACCTGTGCTTGTGTCAAGCAGAAAGCCAGATGGCGTTGGCTGCCTTCCAGCTTATTTTTTGCTGGGAGTTCCTTTTTTCTTATCTCTGTGTGAGTGTTGTTACAAAGAATTGCATAGCGTCCTCAGTGAAGGCAGCAACCCTTAGTGCCGAGTTGGATGCTTCCTCCAACCCTCCTTACCTTGGAGGCCCTTGGGTTTAGAGTGGCAGTGGTTGCAGCCCAGGTGTTTAAAGGCTGGGAATGAGATGGCATTTCTTATCCTAAAATTCAAAGGTTTTTGCCTTAGAAATGTTGAGTGCTCTGTAGACTCCAGTGGGAATTCTCCCACCATTCTTCCCTATACAATCTTCATCTCCCAGTGTAACATTGTTGTCGGAATTGGGGACCAGGATGAATTCCTAAAGCTGTAAATGTGAAGGTGTTCAGGCTTCCTCCTAAAACACGCTATCATCAAAAGCTGTTTTCTTTCTTTTGTGTAAAAAGTCCCTTGATGGATCTGAGTGGCATATCCCAGAGCTGGGTTAGATCAGCCAGACCCAGGCTTAGCCAGATGACCTGCTCTTACTCCCTAGGCTCATAGCTTATGTGGGTCAAGTTGCAGCCCGGGATGGGGTGGGGTCTCTGGCGGCTCGTAGAAGACAGTGCTGAAGGTCTTTATTCCCCATTCCCTTACTTTGGAAAAATACATTTTCTTAAACTTTTGATGATGAATACTCATCAATACAGTCCTCTGCTTATTGGAGCCCAGCCCTTTCCAAAAGCCACTGTTTGGCATGTTGGCTTTATCTTTCTTTGGCTGAAAGTGCTGACACTTAGTCTCTATTAAAATCCCTCCAGTTTTCTAGGAGTGTCTTTTTGTGCTTGGTTTGTACCTTTGTCTTTAATACCCATATAGCTTTCTGTCTTCTCAGAATCTCAGGCCTCAGTTTCTGTAGACTGTTTCCATGTGAATGTCCCTCCCATCCCACGGTGGGTGTGACTGTCCCTTCTCATTGCTTCTGATGGCTGCTCTCTTTGCTGTCCTATGGCGGCTTCCATGAGAGAAAGCTTTCAGCTTGGAAACCAGGATCCCTTGTATTACCTTCAGCACATTTGGCCCATTCTTTCACAAAGCTCTTGTGCCCTCTTGTTCACGCTGCATACTACAGGCCACTCTGTGCTCCTTTTGCACTGTCTTGACTATCTTGCCTCCAATTGAAATCACAACCATAAAAGTAGCTAACAATAGCAAGGACTTACCATATACTAAACACTTTATATGCATTGTGTAGACCATATATTACTGCTAAATTAATGTTACTACAGAGTCAAGTTTTTTGTGGGTGTTTTTTTTTTTTCTGGGAGGAGCCAATAAATAACAGCCATCTTTTTTCCTTCCAAACTAGGAACCAGTTAAATAATGATTACAGGAGACAGGCATAGGGAGATCAGAATGTCTCTTTGTTACTGGTTAAAATGATTGAAGAGAGTGGCTTTTAACCTGTGGCCAAATGGCCCTGCTGCTCATTTACCCTCAACTGGACAGGTTACCTATATAGTCTCAGGCAGTCCCGGATGACACAGGCCTCTCACTGGTGGCAGTTTCCCACTCACCTTCCGCAAGTCAAGGAGACAGACCAGAGTACACTCCTGCAAAAGTCAGATCCCAGCTAAGCAAAGCTCACCAACATCCAGAGTGGGGAGAAAAGCCAGGAATCCCTCCATGTGGAAATACTCTGGGAGAAGGAGGGTTCTCTAACATGCATCTCTTGTTGATTCCCCTGCTCAAACTGTTGAGTGCCTTCCTGGCTCCTTTTAAATTCTCCCTGGACTTCTCAGCTGTACCGTGATAGGAATAACGTCTTTCTCCACTCTAGAATCACCAACCGTCTTCTCCCCTCAGCCCTTGACGTGCTGGCATCTTTGAACTACTTCACAGTCTCTCAAAATATTTTGCCTGCTTGGCCTCTTTACTTTGCTCTGTAATAGTTGGTGGCGTGCCTACTTCATGCCAGCACTGTGCCTTCAGGGAGCTCGTAGTCTGGATAAGTAGACAGATGTGAGCAAATAATACTAGCACTTTGTGGTTAAGTGTTGTAGCACAAGTGGAAGAGTTAGCAGCTTATCCTGGGGTTGAGGTGAGGAGTTGAGGGAGACTGCAGAGGAGGCATTTTAACTAGGTCGGAGGTTAGCCAGGAGTATGTCAGGTGGTGAGAATGAAAGCAGAGAGGGAATCTGGGAGAGGAGAAAGTATTCCAGATGGTCATGGTGACTCATGCCAAGGTCAGAGCATATGGGGGTCTGCGGTGGTTTTTGTCTGTCTCTGGCAAAAGGGATTGGAGGCCTTGGGAGGTGTTGGTGCAGGGTGTTAGGAGCCAGGTCGGGAGGGCTGGCTGTGAAGCAGTTTGACTTGTGGTGTGGGGAACTGGAAGGTTCCCACTATGTATTTTGGGAGATTGGAGATTTCCATAATACATTTTTGAAATGCATAAAGATGCATATGGAATAATAACAATGAACCCACAAATACTCATCACATAGACCTAGCATTTGTCAGCATTTTGCCACATTTGCTTCATCTATCCTTTCATTTGTTTGAAGTTTTTTTTTAAAGTAAATAACAGATGTCGAGTCATTGTCCTCTACTTCAGTGCATATCTCTAAAAACATGGGTATTTTCTTCATCATACTGCCATTATTTTTATGCCTAACAAAATTATAAGAGTTTCTAAGCATCATCTGATACCTAGTCCATAATCAAATTTCACCAGTTGTCTAAAAAATTGTATTTTGCAGTAGGTTTCTTTGAATCAGGATTTAATCTGGTCTCACACTTTTGTTTATTATGTCTCTTAAGTCTACTTTAATCTAGGGTGGTGCTCCCCCTACATCCCCCCATTGACTTCCTCAAGGTACCGTGTCAGCTTTTCTTTCGATAGTCCAATGAAGGGGTTAAGTTTTGCACTGATGTTTTGGACGAACATTTTTGGAAGCAGTGTAAAGGTATTTTGTGGGGAAGGAGACAAAATTAGAAGCAGAAGAGGTTCTCTTGAACATGGAATTATGGATGATTTTCACTTCCTACATTTATAAACTGTTAGAATATTTTTTATGATTAACACATTTTTATAATCAAATGCTTCTACTTCAGGAAAGGAAGGAAAAAAGATTTACAATAGGGAGATCAGTTTGGAACTTGTCCCTTTAGCCTGAAAGAGAGGTAGTGAGGACTTGGGCTGTGTGGTGGTGATGGGGACAGGTGATGGGGTGCAGGAGGTGGAGTTGAGACCTATGTAGAAGGCAGGAGCACAGGGCTGGGGCTGGCCAGGGTGTGAGTGAGGGGCAGTGTGGGGGTTGACTTGGGATTCCGGCTGCATAGTGGTGCATCAATGGAGGATGGAGGTTACAAGAAAAGTAACCTCTTTTGAGTGTGGCTTAGGAGGGGAGCTCTTTGGGGCATGCTGAGTGTGACCTGCCTGTGAGGTAGGCTATAGAGATGTGTACACACATACCTGAAGCCCAGGAGGGGTCTGTAGGTTTGGGAGTCAGAGGAGGGTGTCTGTGGGCATGGAAGAACTTACCTGTGGAGTATGAAAACAGTTTTCACAGTGTGGGTGAAGGTGGAGGGCCCAGCACAGAGAAGACAAGAGCAGCCAAAGGTTTGGGGGAGCTAGGAGAGGGTGGTGTGTCCAGAGCCAGGCAGGAGCAGGATTGAAGGCAAGGGGGGAGGTCTGGGGAATGTGACTGGATGGAGATGAAGTGGGCAGAGAGGAGGGGTCCTGGAGGTCTGAGCAGGAAGGAGGGAGTGGGGTCTCCAGCAGAGCTGGAGATGGAGGAGTGGGGGATGGCTACAGATGAGTTTCTTCATTTTTAATTTTGGCGAAACATGCATGACAAAGTCTATCCCTTTAGCCATCTTTCAGCGTGCGGTTTGGTGGCTTTCAGTGCACATTCCCATTGCTGCCAGCCTACTGAGGCTTTGAGGTGGGAGGAGACAGGGAGTTGTCTCCCCAGGTTTCCTGAAACAGTCCTCTGCTTATTGGAGCCCAGCCTTTTCCAGAAGCCACTACCAGAAACCTTTCATCATTTCCCTCTACTTCCATTTCCCCTCGGAACCTTGCAGTACTTGGCTCCTTGTCTGATGCTGTCTTGGCCTCAGTGTGGTCATCTAGGCTGGTGGAGATAAACTTCCAGAAGCCAGGCCCTGTGCACATTCAGCCTTCCTTTTTGAGGGGCCGCATGGTCCCCAGGGCTTGGCTCATGAGCATTCTATAAACGCCGAAGGAAAGGATGGAAGTTTAGTTTGAGTAAGAATCTGACAGCAGGATTATCTGGTTGGGTGGAATGGGGGACTGGCAGCCAAGGTGAGGGGCAGAAGCTGAACCACTTAGCCATCCTTTGAGAGGTCTAATTGCATTGTATCTATATTTGGAAACAGCTGGGTTTGAAGAGCACCTAGTCCCCGCCTGCCCCCACTTTAAGCACTGCCCGAAGTACAATTCAGACTTCTTGCTGTTGAGTTTATGTGCCACCGTGTCAAGGGCCTTGGTAAAGCACCCTGGTTGACTGCTGAGGTAGCCAAGCCCCAGAATTTCCGTCAGCTGCCAACTGAGCCACAGCAGTGTGTCTGCCACAAAAGTTGTTAGTTTAGGCTGCTTGGAAAAAGTTCTCAAAACAAGGAGTGAGAACTCTGTACAGAACAATCCCCTTTGGAACATTGACTTTTAAAAGGGGGAACAGAGAATGTGGGAGCCTTTGAGCTCCAGCCGTTTTAAAGGCAGAAGCCTGGAGACCCTCCATCCTCTCTCACTCCATCCTCACAGAAAGTCCAGTGGGGCAGCGTTTGCTGCTCCCATAAAGCAGTGGCTTGCTGCTTGCCTGGGCTCCCACAGCTGGTTGGTTGACCTGGGCTTGCAGTCCGCCCTTCCTGTTACATGCTGAGGGAACTTAGAAGTGGGAGCACATTGCCGGGGAAGGAGCACTATGAGGAAGGACTTGGATGCCATGGAGCAGGGGGAGGGTTGAGCCAGAAGACAAGAAAATGTGGGCAGATACTCAGATGCCCGAATAGACCTATCCTTTGGTCAGAGGCTGCACCATGGTAGTGGAAAGGGCAGGGACTTTCCAAGTCTCTGTAAAGTCTTGGAAAAGTCACCAACTCTCCCTCTGTGTGGGTCATAAGCTCCTGGAGGTGCGATGTCCTGCCTGTTGTTGCGACCTGCAGCTGTGGTACACGTGCTGGCTGGAGAGGAGTCACTCCGAAGAAAACGGTGGGCGTGAAAGTAGCCTTTTCTCCCAGGCCTGTTGTATTCTGGCATCCTTGGTCCTGACCTCTGTACTTCTTTAGTGCTTAGACCTTTGAAATGAATTGTTCCCACCTCCTACCCCTACAAATACTCATTGTCTGTTGTTGCTTTAAACAGGTTAGCACTAACTTAGTCTTAAAACCACACATTTATTAGCTTCTAGTTCTTCTATTGAGAACTCTCTAAGATGGGCTTCCCTCTGCTAAGTCAGGGTGTCAGCAGGGCTGTGTACCTTTGTGAAGGCTCTGGGGGGAGACCCCTTTCCACCTTTTACAGGCCTCCCACACTCCTTGCTCATGGCCCTTTCCTTCCATCTTCAAAGGCAGCAACATCTGGCCAAGTCTTTCTCCAACTACATTGCTTTGACACCAATTCTTCTGTCTCTTCATTATTCGGCACTGTTTAATTACATTGGGCCCACCTGGATGCTCCAGGATTATCTATTTTAAGGTCAGCTGATTAGCAACTTTAATGATCCTTTGTCATGTTAACATAGCATATTCATAGGAATTAGGAGTGGCCATTTTGTGGGGACCTTTATACTCTCCAGATATCCTAATGTCTCTCACAAACTTCTACCCTCTCTGCCTATAGAATCATACTTGGGTAGCCCCTATTCTAAAATACAGTTGGAGGAAACTTCCTTCTCAAGCTTCGATCTCGTTCCTTCTCTTGATCTTAAATATAGTCTCTGTGATACATTCCCTCCCTGGCTCCTTACTGTCTATGTACTGGAACTTAGCTTTAAAAAACAGCCCTGCGCCTTCCAGTGCTGAGCCCAAGGGCCTCTTCCTGCTCAGCTCCTCTGTGTGTTCTTCGGCCTGTGGCTTTCCCCCTCCTCAAGGCCTTCCCCTCCTTGCTTTCTGCACTCCTCTGCTTCTGTGTGTCCTTGGTCTTGACCTTTTCTTTCTTCTCTTCCTCCTGTCCTGGAAGGTTCAGTGTTCAGTTTATCTTCCACCAGTAATCTCCTCGACTCCCACAGTTCTAATTCCGAACCTGGTGCTGATGGGCCCCAGATGAACAGCTCTTGCTCTGACCTCCTTTCTGAACCCCGAGGCTGAATTTCTTCTCAGCTCTCTGGGTATTTCCGAATGAAGGCCCTCCAGATGTGGATTGTATGTCATGGACAGCATGTTTAACTGGCTTATTAATCGTCCCCATTCATCTGTTGGGTCCCCTTAAACCTCTCTCACCTTGGTGATCCAGGGTAGAAATCCCTATCGCGTTTGGTTCCTTTATTCAGCTCTGCTTCCTAATATCTGTCCTATCCCAGGTTTAGGTCTTCAAAGTCAGGGAATGCAAGATTATTGGGGGGTGCAGGAATAAAGTAATGGAACTTTGTTTTTATCTTAATCCTTCTACAGGCTATTTTTGTTTTAAAAAGTGCACCAGTATATATAGTTCATAGTATACATACGTGGGGGTGCATTTACCTGAAGTTTATACTTCCACGGCAACAGTATCAAGTAGATTTGTTGAGCATGGGTTTTCCAGTTTGTTTCAGCCAAAGATCCCTTTCTTTAAGTGAAATCTGACTCAGTTAGAAAATGTAAATCAAAAGCAGGACTGTCCTGGTTGTAATGGAGGTGGGGCCTAGAGCCAGCTTGTTCACTTGGAATGGAGGCTCTTGAGGGGCCTTCTTGATGTACATTTTGGAAATGGTTGGTTTGGATTGTCACTGTAGTTCAAATCTGATTAGAAGTCTGTGATCATCTAAGTCTTGTGGACATCAGGAAGAAAAGGTCCCTAGTCCCCTCCTCGCCATATTCCAGCACACTACTGTCCGCATTCTTGTGTAAGCAGGGATCACGTCCTTAGTCCAGTTCTGCACACCTTCTTCCCTGGGCAGTAGAGTCCGGTAAATATTTGTTGAATGAATGGGCAAATGGACACTGAAACTTGTGGTTAAATTTATGTTTGGAAGAGCAGGCTCTTTTCTGCCTGGATGTGGCCTGCTCAGATTTTTTTTCTTGACATTCTGAGTGTGGGCCTTAAGGTCTGGGTTTCTGTGTGGCTGCACGTGGAGTCCATAGGCTTGGCATTCCTTCTCTGGGCTGGCATTGTCGTAGGGCCACTTCCCTGTAGCACTCCAAGGCACTGGTTTCTGTCACAGCTGCAAAGTGGCTGTCTTGCAGGCCTCATTTTCTCACTTAATGGGTTTTCCTAATGTCATTGTAACCAAATTTTAAATACATTGATTAGAAAGAAACTCTTAAGTTGGTATTACTAACTCAGTCCTGTACAACTTAAACCTAATTGCATTTGCTCTGACATTATGTAAGTGCTATGTTACATCAACTTTTCCTTTTGCAGCTGGGCCAGAGTTGGAGATGTGCTCTCTGTCCTGGCCGATGTTCTCACCTGGCAGAGAGGAAACTAACTGAGGAGTGAACACCAACAGCTAGAGCTGAGGTCTTGCCAGTGCACAAGGAGAAGTTGGCCTATTTCTATTAGTGGGTCAGCTGCTCCTCACTCGGTTGGCTGTCCTCTAGCCTTTCAAACTGGATGGCCCAGCTGCTTGGTACTTTGTAACAGGTGCTGCTGGCCTTCTGGCCCAAGGAAGGGGTCACCTGGGCTTCTCTGTGGCTGTCAGATGCAGTCTCATGACTGAGCTCAAAGAAGGGAGCATGGCTCTACTTTAGAGCTGGGGTAGGTTTGTTTTTGGGTATGTTTGTTTCAGATTGCTGCTGAGATCAGGACCCACACTTACCAGACTAGTTTGCATGCATTGCCATTGTGGCTTTTTCTAAGACAGTTGTTTTCGGTGTTTCGTTTTGGTTTTCTTCGTGCCTCTCTGTGCTCACCCTTTTCCTTGTTTTTCACCGTAAGACTAACTTCTGCTGTGTCCCTAAGTGAAGGCAAGATGAATTTGATTTCTCCTTATGGTTTGCCCAGGTTGCGGATGAATACATGTTTTCCCTGGAGGAGAATAAGAAGTCGAAGGGCCGTCGTCAGCCCTTAAGCAAGCTCCCCCGCCATCACCCACTCGTGCTGCAGGACTGTGTCAGTGATGATGGTAAGTGTGGTTTTCTCTCTCCACCAGGAGGAAAGCAACTCATTGCTTAGGACTTGCTCTGATAGGACATCCGGAAGCCACGCTGGGGGCCAGGGGTGGGCTTGTGGCCCAGCTCTCCCCTGGGTACTCCATAAGGAGGGCAGGATTTCATTTGGATACATCTGTGCCCTCAAGAAGCTCTCACGGTGGTCAGGCAGACTGACAGGTAGACACATGTAAGGAGAGCAGACCCTAATCCAGGCAGAGGGGCCAGTCTGAGTAACCACAGAGAAGAGAAACAGGAAGTTAGATTAGAGAAAGCAGTCAGGGTGGCTGAAGCTAAAGGACCAGGACAGGGAGTAGTGGGTGCACTGGAGGAGTTCCTAGGTTGTGAGCCCTCCCTCCCCCCACACCAGGCGTGGAGGGGCCTTTGAGGTGTTTGAGGCAGAGGAGTGACACGGTCAGGTTTACATTGGAAGATTGCTCCTAGGGACTGCATCTTGAGAATGGCTTGAGAGGAGCAGATGGCCTTTTGTCATGGGTTCTGTGAGATGTGAGGCTCTGAGCCAGAGTCATGGTGGTATGGATGGGGGAGGGCATGTAGTGAAGATGCTGGGAAGAGATCACCAGCTGGACTCGGTGATTGGATGTGGCACCGTGAGGGTGGCAGAGAAGGAAGAATCATGAGTTGAGTGCTTCCCTGGCTTGTAGCTTTGGCTGGGTTTTGGAAACCTGCATCCAGGGTCTGAAAGGTATAGACTTGGGGCTGTGCAGAGGTGGTACTGGGTACCGTTGTTAATGTAGATGAGGGCATTTGGTGGGTGGCGCAGGGGTATTAGGATGCCAGAGGAAGAAGAGGGTCCCATGAGGGAGACAGAAGGGGAGTAGGCAGGATGTGGAGCAGAATTGGAAGTGTGTGGCTGGAGCTCAAGGACTCTTGCCATCAGTGCAGCATGGTCCTCCTGTGCTGTCTGGAGCCCAGAGATCCGATAGGATGAGTGCCAGTGAGCCTCTGTCAGTGCCTGGGTCCCTTGCTGCTCTTGACTGATGTTCTTTCCTACCCTGTCCTGCCCTTCCTGGTGCCAGTGGCTGGGTGGGAAAGTCCAGAGTCTCAGCTGCCTTTCTTCTGCCCTACAGGCCTCACATTTCCTTTCTAATCTGATATCAATGCCTATTTCCACTCTTTCCCTTGGTAGAAGAATTGTGAGAAGCTATGTAGGGGAGAGTCTCTTGAGATCTTATAGTCAGCAGTAGGTCAGACCTTGAGGCAGAGTCTTGGGAAGTCTTCCAGCCCAGCCCAGCCCAGGCAGGGTTCAGGCTCTATGGATAGTAACAGCCTAGCTTCATGATTCTTTTCTCCTCCAGTGCTCTAAAGCAGTAGACGGGGGTAGAAAATAGGGAAAGTTAAAAAGGAAACAATTACCCTGTAAAGGTGACCATTGAACATTTTAATGTAACCTTCCTGACTTTTCCAGTCACAAATTAAATTTGTCCATGTTTGTCTCTTTAAAGTATTCCAGATCATAATATTCAGTCCCCAACTTTTTATGATAAATTGCAAATGTGGAAAATTTGAAAGAGTAAGAACAGCTGCATGCTCCTTGCCTATCTGTTCAGTAGGTGTTTACTGTGTCCCCATAGTTGCCGACCGTCCCTCCACGGGCACTGCTTACATATGTGCTACATGCACATTGGGTCTGTTGTTTGAAAGTAAGTTGGAGTCATCAAGTCACTTCAGGGATACTGAAAGGCTTCTTCTAAGGCTTATCTCCTATATAAACACTATTGTTGCCACACCTAGGAAAATAAGCAATAATTCCTTAATATTCTTTAATCTTCAGTCTGTGTTCATTTTTCTGTGCTTATCCCAAAAATAAGTTTTATTGCGTTTTTCCTTTAAGTCAGTATAAACCAAACTAAGGTCAGATATGTGGAAGTTTTCTTTGATCTCCTTTAGTCCAACATGTCCCTCCACCTTAACTTTTCTTCAGTTGAGGTGTAACGTATCCAGTGAAATGCACATGTTCTAACTGTACAGCTCAATGAAGTTTTAGATAGGTAAACTAAAATTTGATTCCTGGAATTTCCCCTCATCATTCAGTGTTCCTTAGTGGAATGACTTTTGGCCACTTAGAACTTCGTAAAAGGAGCAGATGTCAGTGTGTTAGTTCTCCTGCTGTCATTGTGAGGCTGTTTCTGTTCCTTCTGTTTATCTTACTCTTACTTTGGCCAGGGTGCAGAAAACAGCTGTTTCAGTTTTGCTACCATGGTTCCTGTCTGGGCCTGATTGATGGAGCTTGTAGGGGTTAATTTTAATTGTCTGCAGGGCCTCACTAAACTACAGTACTCTTCGCTGAGGTCACACACATGGCAGCTGCCAGATCCTTTAGATTAAACATGACTGTAAAGGCTGAACAGATAGCTCTTTATCTTCACTGAGCACGGAGCTGGAGTTCCAGAAATGAACAAATAAGTGGGCACCTCATGCAAGTATATGTCGGAGCGTTCCTTGGGCTGCTCTGTGTAGGTCTCCAGGGCCTCTTGAAAAAGCACTTGAAAAAGCACTTCTGTCTGGGAAAAAGTGGGATCATTGGACGTGCTGGAGCTGGGGATTGCTGGTGCTCACACATGGTTGGATGGTGATCCCATGACATGCTGCATGGTAGGGCGGCACAGAGCTAGGATGCTGTCATGTGCTCTGCACCTGGGCCTTTCTTTGGACACACTTACTAAAGAAGACTTGCCAATTAAAACTTCTCATACTTCCCTCACTTGGGGAGCACCTGGCAGACATCAGTTGATTTTGGTATTTGCTGCTACTTTTACCAAAGATTGCTTTTCTTCACCTGTAACCTTAGAGTTATGGGATTTTCCTTACCTCCTTGACCCTGTTTCTATGAGGAGGTGTAGGCCATGCCATTCTCTCACTGAGTTATAGAGAAATGGCAAATGTGCATCTACTATTTCCATCATGGTTTGTAAATAGTTTTTAATTTTCCATCCAGCAGTATGCCCCTTTCTCTTGGCTTCCCAAGAGATGCACCCAGAGGGGATTTTCCTTCCTCAGGCAGTACTGAGGCCTGAGTAGTGATAGGCTCTGCTCTCTAGAGTAATGAAGAGATACAAATGTGTCTTCTAGACCAGGGGTCAGTGAAGGGCCAGACAGTAAGTATTTCAGGCTCCATAGATCTTGTGTCTGTCACATATGCTCCTTTTTTTCTCCGAATGCTTTAAAAATGTAAAAACAGTTCTAAGCTCCCTGAGTGGACTTGGTTTGGCCTTTGGGCTGTTGTGTGCCAGACCCTAGTCTAGACTCAAGGGGTTACATCCTGTGGCTGGGAAGAGGGTTCATCTTGGACACACTGTGCCTTCCTCTGAGGCAGAGCCAGGCAGTGGGTAAGCCCTGTCCAGAAAAGCAAGGTACCCACTGACCTTCCCAGAGGGAGCTGGGAAGTTCTGACCAAGGACCATGATATAAAAATGACTGAGCCTTGCCATTTGCCTGTGATTTTTTTCCTTGTTTCCCTTCAGTGCAGCTAAAGAGAAAATTCTTAAGAGGTTAGGACTCAACATGCTGATGTATGGGAGATGATAGCAAATAACAGTTTCTGGCAAGATGGCATTAAACACTGCGGCCCTTGGTCAGAGGGGCTGAATGTTGACAGCTGTTAGAGGAGAGAAGAGCAGAGTAAGATGATCTCTTGGGGCAAGAAGGAAGAGTAGAGACCATGAGTCAGTCGGGCCAGAGAAAGGGCTACAGGCAGGACTCCCCGCAGCATCATCTGAGTGTTGAAGGAGTCTGTTGAAAATCCCTTCTGCCCTTTGTCTTTATCCCCCTTAGGATCTTGAGTTCAGTCGAGTCCTGGCTGAGCTCATTTGCTTTTCAGACAGAGCCATTGATGTGCAGGGCTGGTGCTGACTCATGCTCTACTTCTTCCTCTAGACACATCTGAGCAGCCGACTCCTGAGGAGGAGGCTGAGGAGACAGAGGCCTGGGCCAAGCCCCTGAGCCAGCTGTGGCAGAACCGACCCCTGAACTTTGAGGCCGAGAAGGAATTCAATGAGACCATGGCCCAGCAGGCCCCTCACTGTGCCGTCTGTATGATCTTTCAGACTTATCATCAGGTAAGTCTGCTGTCCACTCACCCAGGGCCAGCAGTCAGAGGGAAGCCAGGTTTCACTGAGGGTACATAGCTTGTCACCAGTTGTTTTGGAAAAGGCATGTTTTTCTGGTGGTCTCTGTTCCGTCCGCGTACTGGTCAGGCCTCTCCAGGCAGACGACTCAGCAGTGTGGGTTGTCACTTGAGAACGCTTTGGAGAAGAGCTGGGGCTGGCTCTGGGGGATTACCTGCTCCCCTTGGCCCTCACCAGGGGAAGGGTGCATGGAAATATAACCAGTCCCCTGATGGTGGTTAAAGTGCCATGGCTGCCACTGAGCCTGGCAGAGCCCCAGGTTCTTGCTTGTCTGAGTGGAACCTCAGACCAATACATTTTGGATTAGTAAATCACTACTTTTTTCTGTTGACAAAAAGCAAAATTGAAGCATTCTTTGTACCCTTACCTGTGAGGGAAGTAAATGGCCTCGCCGTACTGTCAGCAGATCTACTGAGTGCGGCTCAGAGTTTCATGAGTGGCATAGGCTTGGAGTTTACATGTTTCTGGGCCATCTCTTTGGCAGGGGGGTGATAGTGTCATCCGGTGGCAGAGCCAGCAGGTATTTGCTGTCAGGATGTTTGCCAGCGGAAGTACACACACGGACCTAATGTTCTTCCTGAAGGGGCCCCAAGCCAGGAGTCACAGGTGGGGCTCCAGCCATGTGACAGTGTTGCAGCTTGGGTGACTTGCTGACACAGACCACAGAGGAAATCAGTGCTGGCCCATTAGGAGCACCTGCTCTGGGTGCTCTCCCTGGGCAGAGGCCACCACATGCAGCCCGTAGGGGAGCCCATGATAGCAGCCTTGCTAACATCTCTGCATTTTATTACCACTTGGTTTGGAGAGATTGAAATCCCAGTTGCCTCTTACTTTGCTCCCCTTTCTCATTTGTCCCTAGAGGCCTTTGTTTGATGCTGCCGTGAGAAATTGAATTTGAGTCATTAGAGGTAACTTCAATTAGCAGCTCTGGGATAATGACTGTGCACCCGGGAGCTGTAGCCATAGTCATAATCCGTAAGAGCCAGCTTTCTGCTGATGGAGCAGGTGGAAAGCAGAGAACATGGGCTCATGCTCACTGAGGTGTGCACTTGCTCTCTGTCCTTAGGTTGAGTTTGGAGGCCTTAGTCAGAACTGTGGAAATGCTGCAGATTTAGCCCCCCAGAAGCAGAGGACCAAGCCACTGATTCCAGAAATGTGCTTTACCTCAACTGGCTGCAGTACAGACATCAACCTTTCTACCCCTTACCTTGAGGAGGATGGCACCAGCATTCTGGTTTCCTGCAAAAAGTGCAGTGTCCGGGTCCACGCCAGTGAGTACCTTTCAGCTTTTCTCTGAGTCTTGTCCCAGGGGCTGTGGGCCTTGTCCCAGCAAGTCCTTGCTCCTTTTGGCCTCTCCCCAGCCTCTAGTGGCCTCCGTAGTCCTCCACTGCAGACACTGCTTATGTGTTCTTGGGGTTGAGTCTGAGTTTTATGGGACCCCAGGGTGCATGCTTGCATGCTCAGCTCTGTGCTGTCCTCTTGGTTGCAGATACCAGGAGGGGATTAGTCCCCCTACACACAAGGTGTTTGTACCAGTGAATCAACGGTTTCTGACTTTTTCAGACTTTGGGCCGTGAATCATGGGGGCCCTGATTTTAGAATTCTGTAAGATTTGTAGCCTTGGGACGTAGTCTGGAAAAGGGTTACAAGTCTACATTCCGACTCTGGCCTCTGGGTCTAATTTGCTCATGTGTGTGTGTGCTCCTGTTAGGTTGCTATGGGGTCCCCCCTGCAAAGGCTTCTGAAGACTGGATGTGTTCTAGGTGTTCGGCCAATGCCCTGGAGGAGGTGAGTGTGTCCACGCTGTTCCTGTCTTCCCTGTGAGACTTGGAGTTCTCTCAGGGCCAGACAGTTTCACATGGACTTTATGTCCCCAGCCATCTGCATAGGGCCAGGTACACACTGATGTCAGAAAGTGAGTATTATCAGCATAAATCCCTATTGACGGAGTGGTTGCTGCCTCCTGTGGCAGGGCATAGATGGAGTCTGGAAGCTGTGTTTGCTCTTTTGTATGAGGACCAAGGTAGAGGGCTTGTGGGCAAACCATCACCCCCTTTAAAGAACTTAGCCTTTGGGTTGGAGTATCAGAATGGGGATTGGACGGTTCATTTCATAGCTTTCTCATCATCACCCCTGCGCTGGAACCTGGCAGTACCCCCCACACAGGAGGCAGGCAGAGCCCTGTCTTCAGTAGTGCTGCCAGTTTGAGCAGAGTGTCATTTGTGACTCCTTGACAGTTGTTATTAACAGTAACAGCGAAGAGGTTTATGCTAAGTCAGGCGAATACTGCGTGCACTTTAGCCCCAGGGTCCTCGCACCCCATCTTCTTGCGGGGGAGTCTTGACTACACTGGCTGTGTAGGTGAAGCCCCACATACCTTTAGGCCACTTTTTTTGTGGAGGCTGCAGTTGGCCAAAGGTAGTCAAGGGGAGAGCAGATTGGGTATTAATGACTTGGTAACTGCTTTTCCTCCACTCGCCTTCTTGGCAGGACTGCTGTTTATGCTCATTACGAGGAGGAGCCCTACAGAGAGCAAATGACGACAGGTGAGTTTTCTGAGCAGTAGCTCTGAATGCTCAGTTCTGAAGCAGTGTGCAGAGGTACTGAGAGGGCAGTGGTTGTTCATCAAACTGACTGATGAGGACTGGGAAACACATTGGAACTGGAATAGTGTTTCCAAGACTAAGTTTAAAAATGGGATGCCAACGGAAGTCAGGCAGTCCCAGACCTTTCCAGCTACAGCTTCCCCTCTGAGGCACAGATGTAAGTAACATCCAGCATTTGGAGGAGCTCAGACTGACTCAAGAGGGACTTGGGAGGTGTGAGGACCTTATGTCCATGATGCAGGGGCTTTGTGGGCTGGAGGTGAGGTACCTTGTTACAGCTGGGGCTGGTGCTGAGGTGGCCACGGGCTGGGGAGATGAGCTCTCCCTGGTTCAGACCTGCTGTGTTCCGAATGAGAGGGAGGGAGGGAGTGTCCATGAGGAGAGGGGGACGTTGAAGGGAGCACAGCCAGACCTACCCACTGTTGAATCAAATCTATAGAAGGTCTGGGCATCTTAGCCAGAGTGGGCTTCTCAGCTGTTGGGCAGTTCATTTTCACTGAGCTGAATCTTTGTGCTTGGTGTTGGCTTACTTGTTCTGAGGTAGAAATGTAAGGTGAATGAGGTTTTACCCTGGAAAAGCTGGCTGTCTAGGGAATAGTGCACACAGGCCAGATGGCAGTCAGTGGTGAATATCCTGCTTCCAGCTAAAAATTCTGTTTTAGGGAACTTGGAGCATGCATACTGTCCAGCATCCTGCCTCACAGGAATCTCCTTCATGCTGTTCAGGATAGATGACTGTTCCACTTGCTGCTTCCACTCCTTTGAAGGCACTTGCCATTACTTGAGCTCATCATGTTCCTCACAATTGCAAGATATTGCTGTTCTTTGTTTGGGTGGAGCTGGCTCTGCTTGAGCCTCCCACCTTTACCTTAGAGTCTTTACACTGTCACCCAGAGCAGACCTGTTCCCACTCTCACATGGTATCCCTGCTGATCCCGCAGCTAGCTTCCATGTAGTCCCAGCACTGTTTATGGTAGGTTTCTGCCTGGCCTGCTTTTAAGAGACTTCACCATCTTTGTTGTTCTCATCTTGGTGCATGTCAATTTCCCAAGATGCCTAGAACTTAGATAATTGTCTAAGGATGTCCTAAGGATGTCTGTTGAACAGATCTTTCAGAGTAAGTGGGGCATGGGCCAGATGTTAAAGAGTGAGTGTACTGTGGATGAAAGGAGCAGAAGAGAGGTCCTTTCAGCCTAAGGGAAAGGCTTGGGTAGAGGCCGAGAGGGAGAGCTGTGATTACTGGCAGATGAGGACACAGTTGGAGATACTCAGGCAGTACCCAGGTCCTATGGTAAAAGCGGCCTTAGGATGCTCTCTAATTTATTCTCACTCCCTGAAACTTGCCACACTTAATTAACTGGGGCTGTGCTCATTTTGCAGCAGGCTATGTGTGAGTGAGTGTGGCAAGAAGTACAACCCTGTGTAGGTCAGTGGTGTAGGGACCAATCTCCACATACTCAGTGTGGAGACACTATGGTTCTTGCTTCACTGGATCCCAGGAACTTGCTGGAAGTCAGCGGTCATGTTGGTTTAAGGGGGAAGCGCTATCTGCAGGCCCTCATTACATGAGAAGGCTGCAGGGCCCTGGGGCCAGAGAGGATTGAAGCAGCCTTTGCCTTTTGGCAGGTGGGTCCACGTCTCATGTGCTGTGGCAATTCTGGAAGCAAGGTTTGTCAACATTGCAGAAAGAAGTCCAGTGGATGTGAGCAAAATCCCCCTGCCCCGCTTCAAACTGGTAAGGAAGAAGAGATGGGTCTGTAGGCTCTACCTCATTGTCCTGTTTATAAGTCTCTGGGTAGTGAAAAGCACTGTGAGGGTATCCTTTGCTTGGCCCAGTGATCATCATCCCTTCCCTCTTTGTTTTGGCCAGGGTTTATGATTGTCACCCTGTGGTTAAAACTACGTAATGAGGGGACACACCTACAATCAGGCGTGGGATTAAAAGAGGAGGGTGTGTGAACCCTTGCATTCTGGGAAGGAGCTAGGCTCTTGCTCGTTTGGCTCTGTGTGTTTTTGTTGGGGGAGCAACGGAGGAGCCTGTACTGTTAGTTCCTGGAATCATTGGCTTACTTCCCCTGTGTTGTAGAAATGTGTTTTCTGCAAGAAGCGGAGGAAAAGAAATGCTGGCTGCTGTGTGCAGTGTTCCCATGGCCGTTGCCCAACTGCCTTTCATGTGAGCTGTGCCCAGGCTGCTGGTGTGATGATGCAGCCAGATGACTGGCCCTTTGTCGTCTTCATCACCTGCTTCAGGCACAAGATTCCCAACTTGGAGGTGAGGGAGGGTGCCCTTGTAGTATCCTCTTGACAGTTGCCAGGATCATTTTCTCTGCAGGCTGTCCATTTATTGTGTCAGCAAGTATTTCCTCAAGCATTATGCTTTAGCAGAGTGCTAATGAGTAAGGGTTACAGAAAGGACCCTGTCCATCTCTCCTCCCTGCCTTGTGCTTCCTAATCAGTGGCACCAAGTGACTTGTGGTTGATTCCTTGATAATCTGTTTACTTGTTTACTACTATTCTGGGATAAACTCCGTTGGGAGTCCATGGTTTATTAAGCTAAGTGCCCCTATTAAGTCAGTGTCAGGGACATAGCAGAAGCTCTGTAAAGGCTGTGAACTGAAGGGAAGAGCTTCCAACAGTTAACCATTAGCTGCCATGCAGTAGAGATTTTTGCACTTTGCCAAACAGTGAAACTCAGAGAAAGGTACATGCAATATTTAGTTAGAGGAGTTATGAAAGGGTTTGGGTAGAAGGTGGCAATTGAAGTGAGTTTTAAACAATGAGTAGGAATTGTAAGCAGGAGGGCATTCAAGGCCTTAGACACAGAATGAACACATCTCAGAAGAATGAACATGCAGAGCTGGTTCTGAGAACATGGTGGGAGACAGGCAGGCAGCACCAGAGGAGAGGGCCCTGGACTGCCAGCCACACTTAGGAGTTTGACCTCGCCTCTATTAGATGAGAAGGGCTTTTCAAATATTATGATTTTGAGCTATATTTTAAAAATAATCATTTTGGTGGTGTATTCAAGGATTCAAGGAATAAGAATTTGAGGCAGAAATCAATTAACCTACGAGAGAAATGAGGTATGAAATGGGAATGCCTAGGCAGAGCTTTGGGGTTACGTCCAACTCTGGGGTCCTACAGTGGTGTGACTGACATGGTTTGTTGACCGCCATGGAGAGACTGAGAGGAGGAGGAGGATGACGTGAGGGAGTTTGAATTTATGATGGCTCAGGTTCCTCCCTTGAAAGATGGAAAGGATGCTAATAGGAAGATGTTATTAACTGTGATCAGGAACTGAGAAGGAGCAGGGCTATGTGGCAGGGAAAGGAGGAGAGATGAAAAAGAGGAAAGGACATGTAGAATTTGAGGCTGCTGGAGCATTCTGATGGAGCTGCCATTGGGTAGCTGGTTTAACTAAGAAAGTAAAGATTTAGGTATTGTCAGTATTTATCAGGGTAGTTGAATCCAGTTCCCTTTAGGAACCAGATTCTGGAGATTCCTAATGTAAGGAGCAGATGGCAGAGCATGAGCTGGTGAAAGTAGCTGAAAACGTGGAGAGAGAAGTAGAACAGCACAGTCTAGCAAGCCAGCATGGGGATCAGGAGGGCCCCATGCTGTGAGGCAGGCCGGCCTGTACAGTGCTCAGTGGGGATGCGAAAGTGCAGAGTTTCAGTGAGGTAGTGAGGCCAGAAACTAGACTGTAGTTGGGGCAGATTGCCGTCAGTGAGTTACTAGAAGTAACTAGAAGTTTGTCTAGTAGAGTAGAGCCTACAGAAGATACAGTGACAATAAACATGTCAAGAGTGCTGTAAATACAGTGATAAAAGAAAAGACCCAGTAGAGCATGGGTCCAGAGGAGCAAAATTTTTGCTATCACTTGGAACATTTGGAATCATGGAAGGCCTTGTTGGCTGACCAGATTCTCCCTTTTCCATAAAGATGTCTTACTGAGCATGAGAGGTGGTTGGGCAGGTTAGAGCTTGGGAAGAAGGAAAACAGTCACTGTGAGAATGAGACTCTGGAGGCGTGAAAATCTTGGGACAGCCTGGGTCCCTTCTGGGAGGGAAATGGGAGTGTATGTGTGGAACCTGAGAGTGACTTGGTGACTGTGATTACACCCTTAAATTGGTGGCCGTAGACTGGGTGCTGTGAGCATATAGAAGGTACTGTTGACTATTTCTTTCACTAATTCAGTCTTCAAAAATTTATTGAGCATCTACTATAGGCAGAGTTTTAGGTGCTGGAAATACACCAGTGAACAAAACAAAATAGTCCATGCCCTCTTGTTGTATATAGTTGAAAGATACATAGAAACTTATAAATACACAGTATATCAGATGGGAGAAGTGCTGAGGATGAGATAGAGCAGAAGAAGCAGTAAGGAATGGCGTCAAGAAGTTGACATTTGGATGTAAAGGAGCCAACATGCAGATAACTGTGGGGACGGCATTTCAGGGAGAGAGGACAGCAGTTCAAAGACCCTGAGGTGGGAACTGGAGCTCAGAGAACAGCAGGGAGGCCAGCGTGATTTGCACTCAGGGCCTAGGCATCTTGGTAAGGAATGGCTGGACATGAGGCCACCGGATGCTCTGCTATCCCATTTGCCTCAAGGGCAAGTTCAGAATGAGACAGGTGATGCCAGGCTCAGAGATGGCAGGGTCCTTGTCGTGGGGAGCTGTTTGTCATATGCAGCTGGGCACATACCTGTCTTTGTGCCATAGTCCTGAGGTAGGCTAGTGCTGAGATCTGTATGCAGCACTGTCTGGGGGCACTGGGCCTCATGTCACCTCTGAAGTGTCTACTCTGATGTGTGTCTGAGCTGTGTGCATGAGTAAGTACTATTTGGCTTCAGTTCTGACAACAGCAAGAGAAGTCAGAAGAGTGTTGTGGGAGTTCAGGGTGTGAGGAAGTATGGTATACGGGCCCATTGTGGACCGGGACCGGGAAGGAGCTGCATTTGTGGAGGTGCTAAGTTTCTTCCAAGGTTCTGGCTGGGGTGTGGATATCTGGAAAGACCTGTTTCAGCTCCTGTTTCTTATTCCTCTCTACTTTCCTATTCCTGTGCTTATCTTCCCTGCATTGATCTTGGTCTGCATTTGCCAGGCCTGGCAACTCAGGGTGGGAGTAACCCAAGCCTCTGTTTTTGCAGCGTGCCAAGGGCGCCTTGCAGAGCATCACTGCAGGGCAGAAGGTCATCAGCAAGCACAAGAATGGGCGCTTTTATCAGTGTGAGGTGGTCAGGCTCACCACTGAGACCTTCTATGAAGTCAACTTTGATGATGGCTCCTTTAGTGACAATCTCTACCCTGAAGACATAGTGGTAATGTCTGCGGGGGGGGCTTCCTGGGAAGATTGGGGTGGGGGTGTTTCTGGGTCTGGCTGGCAAACTGGTTGTGGGCCTGCCTGCCTGCCTTTTCTAGCCAGGTCCACAGTCCCATCACCTGGTCCCTGCACACAAGAAGCATTTTGTACTGGTCTTTTCATGCAAAGAAACTTGTGTGCTGCTTGGTACCCTGATTCCTCTAGGAGCTGATAGGAATTTTTGTTTTCTGCGGTTGTTTGAAACATGCTTGTATTTTGGTCTTAACACCCTCGAAGGCGTTATAGTGCAGTAGAAGCCACTACCAGCTCCATTGTTTAGTAGCTGTGTGATTTGGGGAAATACCCAGTTCTCTTTTCTACCTGCCTTCTTAGTAGATGGTAGGAATTTGCTTTTGGTTCTTCATAGTCAAAGGCCTTAGGGCTGAGTAGAAACTGGTTGGAGGTTAGAGATGCCTCTGCCCTCCTTATGTTAATGACACCCAAAATGTAAGGCCATGCCTGGACCCAATCCTAGGGTTCCTGACTCAGTATTCAGGACTTAGTTCAGGTTTCCCCTGCCCGCCACCCTGCCTTTTCACATGTTAGACTAAGCACCAAGGTAGTGGGATGAAGCCACTGCTTTCTTCACATCAGGTATTCCTCCTTTTTATACTGCATTAACGACTTAGTTTTTAAAAGCGCATTCATTAGTTAAAAGGTAGGTTACCTTGTAGTAAAGGTGGTGGTAGTCACAGCAGTAGAACAGCTATGATTTACTAAGTTTTCTGCTGTACCAGACATTATGCTAAGTGCTTAACATCAGGTATCTGTTACTTCTCATACCAACTCTGAGAAGTAGGGGGTGTTTTCTCTAACTTAGAGAAGGTAATCTCAGGACTCCCTCTTCTGAAAGACCTTTTGTTTTTGTGGGTCAGGTCTATCAGTATTTACTCTATTAGAAATTAAAATGGAGATTGGTTTAAGACAATCCATTTTTAAAAATGAATAATAACTTCATTTTAAAATAAAAAATATCAACAAAAAAAATACCTTATAATTTTGAAAATGTCTTTAATGTCACATCTTCATTTAGTCTGTTAGTTTGTTGTTTTGGCTAAAGTATGTGATGAAAATTCAGCCTCACAGTTACATAATTAGAAAGGGGAGGAGCCTTTTACTCCTCATTTAGGTTATTTGTGGGTGTTCTTTGATACTTGGTATCAAAACTCAGCAAGTGGTAGTTTCTTAAAAGTTAGCTGCAGTATAGACTCTGAAACAGGTCAATTAACTTTGTGTACTCTGCACAATTAAAACTCATTTTGGTCTGTCTTGCACTGATAACGGCTCTTAGGCATGATTTTATGATATCATATGTTGGTCATTTAGAAAATATTGGCGTATTGGGCTATGCAGATCTTCCAAATGTTGTTAAATGTTATACAGTATCAGAGAAATCACATTCATTAGTTTCACTAATTTCAGAGAGATACTTAAAATTTTGGGATGCTTTTTAGTGGTGATATAACTGCTGAAATTCTAATTTTTGCCTGAAAGCTTACGTTTTATTATTGACAGTACTATCACTTGTTTTCCTTGAAGTGACAAGCTCACTTCACTCAATTTTTCAAGATGTTTGCCAGTACCCAAGCATAGTTTGTCAGTCATTCTTTCAAAAAAAAGCTTGTGTTCCATGAAAAAGGCAGCTAGTGTAGCTCACAGCTCAGTTACGTGTGCTTTGCTCTAGACAGTCATTACCCTTCAGCATGCAGCAAAAGTGCCTTTTGAGTATTCACACATGTACTCAAGGATTAAGGTTTAACCAAGTTAATAATTTTTTCTGTTTCATCAGGAGGCATAATAAAACAAGGTTTCAAGGTTTTTTTCTTTTTTCTTCCTAAATTTTGAGTGCACAGTAGTAAAGGATGCAGTAACAACTAGTAGAGCTTAGGGCCATTGCCTTGATTTGTGCTAATTTGTGCCAGCAGTTTTACTCATTATAGATTTTTATACCATCAATGCAAATGTCAGCACAGTGGAAGAGGCTAATATTTTAAAATTATGAAAATGGCCATGGGTTCACAGGCTTCACAGGCTTCCTGTAAGTGTCTCTGGAATCCCCCTGAAATTTTTGGGCCACAGTTTGAGAACTGCTATTATATGAGTTGAAACTGAATCTCAAAGAACTCAAATAACATACTGAATTCCATATATTTGGCTAATTAAAACTTCTACCTCACATTTTTTTTTTTTGGCTGTACTTTAGCTGTTGAATTCATGCACATTGTAGTTATTGAGTACTTACTCAATAATGAACGGGCAATACAGTGTTAGGACCATTTCTACTTAATAAATGAATTGGCAGTATAGAACCTTTCTAATTCTTGTCATGTAGTGTGATTGTTAAGAGCAGTTTTGAACATCATATTCTTTAAGACTCACTGCCGCCACCCCTATCCATGCTCCCGAGGACCTTTTCCTAGGCCTACCCATCAGACCTTTCATTCAACCAGTGTGCCCATACACTGGCCTCCCACTGTACCACGCCCTCTGCTGGGAATGCAGTGAGGACCCACCCACCCTGGAGGGAATAAAAGTTCTAAAGTTTCTGCCAAGTCCCATAGTAGGTGATCTTCTCCTGTTAAGAATACATTTCTTAAAATAGTTGAGTCCTGTTTTGATATTTATTCATGGTAGAGCCCTCTCCCCTTTCCCTTAGAGAGACAGTTGAGAGGGACTCTTGATTCTGGCATTTACATTATCAAGTTTACTAAACTTATTATAGCTGCTCTTTTCTGTCACCTAGAAGCAGCAGGGGACAGAGAGATGGGGCTGACTTTGACTTAGCAGGCAGGTCTTTAACCATTGTATCTTTTAGCCCACAGAAAGCCTGCCTTGCTTGGATGTCTGAGCGGGAATTTGTCCTGGTTCATTCTTCCCTGAGGTAGATGGTGCTTTTCACTTTGCTCAGGGGGACCTTCCTTTCACTCTTTTGCCTTATGTTCCCTCAGAGTCAGGACTGTCTCCAGTTGGGTCCTCCTGCTGAAGGGGAAGTGGTCCAAGTGAGATGGACAGATGGCCAAGTCTATGGAGCCAAGTTTGTGGCTTCCCACCCCATCCAGATGTACCAGGTAGCCAAAGATTTTTGCTGGGGATTTGGGGGTACTTGATTAATTCAGTGTTTTTTCTTGGGCCAGAGGCAAGTCTTCCTTTTAGGAGAGCTAAGGATTCAGAATGACCTTTTCAGAGCTGGGGACTGCCCTGTGTCTGTCCAGCCTACCGGGTTTGGCTTCAAACGTGAGAGTCATTATTTCAGTATTCCCAGTGCTTCCTGTACTGTAGGAAGTTGGCCACTGTGCCTAGTGGACCAGGGAGTGTCAAGGCAATCTTAGCCAAAGGGCTTTGCTTCCTTGGTAGGTGGAGTTTGAGGATGGCTCACAGCTTGTGGTTAAGAGAGATGATGTGTACACGCTGGATGAAGAGCTTCCCAAGAGAGTCAAGTCTAGACTGGTGAGTGTTGTCTGTGTGCCCTTGGTTCCTGTCTGGGAGGAGGGAGGGAATAAGGCAAGGCTTGTGTCCCTTGGTGTTTCTCCTGGGGTGGTTGGCACACAAAGAGCTCACTTGGCTTGCTTATTCTTCTGTAGTCAGTAGCCTCAGACATGCGCTTCAATGAGATTTTCACGGAGAAAGAGGTTAAACAGGAAAAGAAACGGCAACGAGTCATCAACTCAAGATACCGGGAAGATTACATTGAGCCTGCATTATACCGGGCCATCATGGAGTAGGTGCTTCCAGGGGCCAAGAGATTTCCAGCCATCAAGGCGAGAGCATCCTGGGGTTCCACAGCACAGCAGACACTTGGAACTCTGAAGTCTCTAAAAGTGAAGTTGTAAAATGAAAGGAGTGAAATAACCAGCCCCGTCATCATCTTACCCCACCCTCATCAGGTCCGCTGTAGTGAATGGACAACTGTTCTTGGACACATGGCAGCAGCCGCTGATCTCACAGCTGAGGGGCTGAGCACTGGAATGCTGTGGCTGCATTGGCCCCAGTCTGTAATGGCTGGGTTGGTTGCCCTGTTCCTCGCCTAGGACTTAGCTTCCTAATGATCACCTGCACCAACTAGGCAGAGGTGCTGGTGCTTACCCCCACCCACCTTTTGTATTTATATATGTGTGTGTGTGTGTGTGTGTGTGTATGTGTACGTGTGTACACGGACCAGCTTCTGCCAGTCCCAGGCCTTTACTTCTTTCTTTGCCTATCCAGGGCAAACAAAATGTGAAATTCTGCCCTCAGCTGAGCTGAGTAAGGGCCCCTGGGGGTTGGCTGGAAATGGATGTGGCATGTCTGTCCCTGAAACTGCCTCAAGGGAGTTCTGGCAAAGCTGCAGTGTTGAGATGCTGAGGAGTTAATGCCACCTCTTCGTCTCTCTTGAAGAAGATAGGGGTACCGTGGGTGTGTGCTCACATCACTCTAGGCACAGAGCCCCTTGTGGCACAGTATTAGAGGGTGTGGGTGAGGGAATACCCTGAAGAGCAACTTTAATGATGGAAGCAGGCAGAGCCTGGTGGGTGATTCTGTCAACAGAAAATTGCAATCATGCAGGGGCTGGGTGGGTTAAGATGAATTGGGGCCACTGGAGACCAGGTGCAGGTTTAGATGTGCCCTGGTCTAAGGGTGGGAGGGTGCTGATTTGGGAGGGGGTGGGACTGGAGGGCAACACTGAAGGGGTTAGCAGGTTTTTGCTCCTCATGAATTTGTTTGCCTGGGCCCAGGATTGGAGGGCTTTACACCTATACCCTGTGTATACAAGAATCAGATTTATAATACTTCCCTTTTTTTTTGTTACGTATGAACGCTATAAACCAAATTATTTTGAAAACCGGTGCATTATCTTGTCCTTAGCAATAAAATGTTAAGCAGAGGATTGCCTGTGTCTGCCCTAAGGAGCCTGAGTGGCCCAGGGTCAGGCCAGAGGTGGTGTATCTAGAGTCACAGGCTCTGGAGCAGGGCCATGTATTTTAAGAAGTCAGAAAGGCAGGATCTAGGAAGCTGCCCTAAAGAGATGGGCTCCTTTTTAGGTTTTGGCCCTGTGGCTCTGTGTTAGGCCAAGCATGGTGGGACACGGGGAGCAGAGGTATCTGTCTCTGTGCACCTCTTTTTGTTTCTCTTGTCTTAGCGATGGGGAGGAGAGGGTAATAGAGGACCAGATCACTTGCAGGGCCCCTAGAACTGGGTCAATCTCTCAGTTGTGCCACACTTAATTACCTTCATTGAGTTGGTTTTAATTCATGCCAGCATCTGTATTCCATGTAAATTGTGGAACCAGCTTGAGGGAGTATATTTTAGGTGTTTGAAGAGCAAGGGGCTGGATCCCAGCGAGACCCAGGAGAGTTTTGAAGCTGCTGTGGGCTGCCTATGGTTGGTGAGACGCCCCCAGGGGGAAGCCCCAGCACTTTGCCTGGTGGGTTCCTGACATGCAGGTGGCTAAGGATAGAGCAGCCAGCAGCAGGTCAGGGAGGGGCTATTGAGTAGGTACAGGCCTTGGGCACAGCAGAACTGCTCCAGCCAGTCCTTGGATGGCTAGGCACCCTGTTTTGTGGCCCTGTCCAGATGCTGCAGAGGCTTGGTCAGCTCTGCAACTCAAAACGCTGCTTTTGTGACCTGGGGCTTGGGAGGTGGCTGCTACCTGGTGTCTTGTTTTTTTGGGAGGCAGGGGAGGGAGGAGCAGCAGATTCCAAAGATAATCCTCTGCCAGCTCCCTCCTGGGACCAAAAAAGGAAGGTTGACCTTTTTGCCCTGCACCAAAGGATTCTCTGGGGTGACTAGGTGGAGCCAGGTGTTAATGGATTGGTGACCCCTGGGAGCACATATCTTTGGATGGAAGGAACACTTCCCTAGACTTGGCAGGGTCCTAGACCTTCCCTACCTCTAAGTCATTCCTTACCTGCCACGGACAGCTTTGCTGAACGACTTGAAGGGCTGGGGTGCTGGTATAACACAACAGTTACTAATTCTCTAGAAACCACATCTTTTGGTCAGTAAAGTAACCATGGGGAAACCGAAGTTGAGTTGAGTTGAGATTCAAGTCACATATAAACAGGCCGTTGTCTCTTTACTGCATGTCGGTGAAGACAGTCTTAGCCCTCAGAAGCACTGACTCCAGGGAAGATTTCTAGCCTGTTAGGCTCCTTTCTAGAAGGCTTTTTGTCCCTGCAAGATGTCCTCTATAAAGTTAGGTAGGGGTTTGGGTTGGCAACCAAGGCTTGCTGCCTGACAGTGTACTTCCTCCCTTCGGTTATAATCCCATAGGAGGAATTACGTTTTAAATTGTGCCCTAGGCGAATGTTGGGGTTTAGCTGCGGTTAATGGGTAGGGTGGGAGAGCAGCTAGAACTCCGGAGCTGTGAAGGGAAGAAGAGACGGAGTGGTCCTGTGACAGACTCAAAGTTTACTGCGAGCCTCTGAAGTTCGTGAAAAAAGGCAGCCAAGGTCCCCCGTTTCCTCATACCCCACAGGATTGGGCAGGGTCGCCCAGCCCGTGGAGGTCCAAAGCCTTGGGCCTCGGAGAGAGGACTGGTGGCGCTCAGCCTGTCTCCGAGTGAATGTCTGCGTCCCCGGAGTGCAGTGACGGGGGCCACCCTGCATTTTGCCCTCGGCAAGTCCCCCGCCCTACGCACGGGCTAGGAAACAGGCTCTCGAGTGGCTGGCTCGAGTGACCACGAGCCCTGCAGGCTTCAGATGTCGGCATCCCGAACGCAAACCCATTCGGGAGTGAAGCCTGAGGATTCCTCTAGGCGGCGGACATGCTCCGGAGGTCCGAGGCGCGAGCGTCCGCGTTGACCCTGCAAGCCGGACTCGGCAGGCCGCGACCCCTCTATCTACCCGCAGCCCTGCCCCGCCGGCGGCGGGCCCCCGTGGGCTGCCCGGGAAACTCGGTGCCTGTGCCTGTTGGGCCGCGCCCGCCCACTGCCTAGAGAGCAGCTCTGCATTGGCCAACTCGGCGCCCCGCCCGACTCTCGCGCGCCGATTGGTCGTGAACGCCCGACCCCCGGCGAGGGCTCCGAGGCGGAGAGCGGGATTGGTGGTCCCGCCGTCCCCAGTCGGGGCCGTGCGCTCCGCCCGCCGCTGCGTCCCCACTATGGCGGCGCCCATGCAGCCCACCGCGTCGCGGGCGCCCGCCGGGGTCTCCCGCGGCTGCCGCCGCCGCCTGCGCCGCCGCCTCCACCTTCCCGCCCGCGTCAGGCCGGGCGCCGCCTCCCCCCGGCATCCCTCTCCGCTGCGGTAAGGGCCTGTCCTGTGCGCGTCGGGGCACGGGAGTCACCGCGGCTAACGGTCGCCGCCCCAACCCTTCCCGCCGCCCGCGGCCCCCGGGTCTTCGCGCTCGTGCTGCGGAGGGTAGGGTCAAGGCACGGCCTAGCCGTCTCCGAATAGTGAAGTATGTACGGCTCAGACTGCGGGCTCGGGCGGGCAGTCCGTCCCCTGGATGACCTCGCCGGGGTAGGGGCTTCCAGGCCTGGGGGAGAGGACGGCTGGACCCGGGCCGAGTGGCCTGAGGTCACCTGGGAGCGAGACCCCGCAGCGCTGCGCACCTTGGCGCAGAGGAAGGACATGGTCAGGCGGGCCTTCGCTGTGGAAAGCGGAAGGAAAAGTCCAGGGAAAGCCTGAGTGGGAATCAGCAGTGTACGGGTAGCGGTTGTCATTGCCTTCTGCTCTATAGGCAGGCAGCCGGATGTTCAAGGGACCGGGGTCAGTTTGACTGGCAGAGTATGCTTCTCTTGCTTCCTTTCCTCTGACAATTCTCCCCATTGTTTACTCGGTGATTTTGCTTGCAAGGGGAAATATCTCAGTGATGAGAGGTTTGGTTAGGATAGTGTCCCACGAATATTTTGGATTCCTTTTTACAATGCCCATTTTTTATTATTTCTCAGTAAACCTACCTTCTGTTTGTGTTACCCTTAAATATGAAGAGGGAGTGAAACGTGTGCACTGAACCATTGTAATTAATTGAGAGAGAAACCAATGAAGGCAGCTGTTAGTTTGTAAAAAATGTGAACTTTTCTGTGGGTATACTTTTAACTATACCATAGCTAGCTGAACATAAAGGTAGAAAAAAGCTTACTAGATTCCTGAAAGTGAAATAGTCTTAATGGAAATTTGGGTTATTTCTAAGTCATAATCATCTTGGAGTGATGATCATTGAACTGTTTGGTATTCAAGTAAAAAAGATTAAAAGGAAGCTGGCACCAAAAAAACAAAAAAGACCAAATGGTATTTTCAAATAATCTCTTAATGTAATAGCAGCTCCTAAGATTAAAGATACTTAACTCAAGGATAATTTGAAGTATTAAGTGGTGAATAGCCCTATTTCACATGTTTAAATGTCTAGCCATGGTTTAATAAAAATAAATTATTAATGAGGAAACGAGGTGCATATTCCTAGAGTCTGACTTTGGATCATTGGAACATGTCTATTGAGTACATGTTATGTGCAAAGCAATAGGACTGTGGGGAACTCAAGACCTGTAATGTATGACTCATTCTAAAGGGCCTATGAGATAGTTGTGGGAATAAAGGACACACAGGAAAATGATAACTAATGACATGGTCTCTAGAATTCCCAGACAGTAATTACCCTGGAAATTCAGGAAAAGGAGAAATCCATGTGTTTGAGGAAGGTTTCACAGGGGAGCTAGGCTTGAGTTGAGCCGTGAAGGGGTAAGCCTGGGTGGATGAAAAGGAAGGAGAAGTTAGGAAAGGAGCAAGTAAGGTGGTAAAGGTGGCAGGTGAGAACCCGAAATGCTCATAGGTGGTTCCAGGGGGTTCTTACTGGGAAAAATGGGAGATAAGGTTGTGCAAAAAAAGATAGGTTCGATAGCATTAAATCAAGAAATAACTTTGTCCCGGGTGGGGCAAAGGATAAACAAATAGTATTATTTACTTCAGATGAAGCTGGACCTAGCCATTAGAAAAATAAATAGCAACACTTTATTTGCTCTTGTCACTTTTGTGATTAACCTCAACTGTTTGAAATAACAACCCTTTCAGCTACCCAGGATCTGTGCCTCAAGATTCATTCTTGAATTTCTTCTTTTCCTCCCTTGTGTTCAGTCAGTTGCCAGGTCTTTATACTACCTCCACACTATTTCTGGCATCTGCTTCTTTCTGTGCCTGCTATCATCACACTGATTTGGGCCATTGATCATTTCCTGGAATTACTGCAAAAAACCCCTATTTTTTTTTCTTTCCTCCCATATGTCCTGTGTACAACCATCACTTCCAGACATCTCACTTCTCCAGCCAACACTTTTAATGGCTCCCCACTACCTGTTGAATTAAGCTCAGACCAGCCTGGAATGGTCTTATTTCTTGCCATTCCCTTAGACTGTATTATAATTTCCAGGTCAGTGGAACTATTTACTCTTCATGCTTTGCTGTTGGTGCTCCATATCTTTGTTCATGTTGCTTTTTTTAATCTTAAATTATCCCATTGAATCTGTACGTGTTGGTTCTTACCCATGTTTCAGGGCCATTTGATATGGAACTTCTTTGATGAAACTTTTCTGTACTTTTCTCCCCATTTAGTGGGACTTTTCTCTCCTTTAAACATAATAACTCTAGAGTCTACCTTTTTGCCACAATTGCCAACATAAGAATGAAACTTTTCAAGATACGAACTATCTTCTTTATCTGACAGTGTTTTGTGCATAATAGGTACTCAGCAAATATATCTAACGTTGTACATGGTTTTGAACTGGGATGGATGCAAAGATAATTGTTTCTGCAAACAAAATGTTTATCATAAAATCTGAAAATAAAGTTATTTGTGTGAGAGAATTCCTTGGTGAGAGATCTGGTATGTTGGTATGTATAGCCTGCATTAACAAAACCTCTTCAGAATGGAAGTGGACTAACAGAACAAAAGTTGACATTTCATTCATGCTACACATCCAGCCTAAGTGCATGGGGAACCCTGCTCCTTAAAGTCGCTCAGGGACCCAAGCTGATGGAAACATGAACACGGTGTTTCCGTGTTCATTTTGATCAAGTGAAAGATGGTTGGCAGGGGACATTGGCTTTTAAAGTTTCTGTCCCAAAGTGTACGTGTCACTTTCACTCACAGTTCACTGGTTAAAGCACATCACATGGCTATGCTTAACTTTAAAGAAGGGCTGAGAATTGCAGTCTTAATATCTACCTGGAAAGCAAAGAGCCAGAAATAATTGGTGGACAATACTCATGAGTATCATGGGCCATAGAAGATTAGATCAGAAAATCAGGTGAGCTACTAGAGACAAGCACGTTGACAGCACAAGAAGTAATAGCTCTAACTAGGCATGGGATAGGGTGGATAGGGCAGATTGGGATCAGCACTCATCACAAGCACTCTCAATGCTCACAGGCCAGGGCTGTTGATACAAGGGCAGTCATTCCTAAGGGAATCACTATTTTACAGCACCCTCAGTGATGGACACAGTAATGGTCCTGAAGCATCCAAAAGAAGCTAAATTACATTCAAGATGCTCAGTCTAAGAGGCCAGGAAGTATGTAATAACTTGAGCTACATTTTCACTTGAGTGGTTTAAATAAAAAGGGTTCTTAGTATAACATTATTGGTTTAATTGGGTTTATTTGAGGTTATCAAACTTTAGTATTTGGGGAGATGTCACTTTCAACAAAGAATAGGAGCATCAACTGCTGAGTGGAGCCCTGGTGCAGGAGATAAGATCTGGGTTGAAATCTGTCTCTGCCACTAATTGTCTGACATTGAGCAAGTGTCTTACTCTTGAGCCCAAGTTTACTCATCAATGAAATGCAAGGCAGTTACAAGGATTAAATGAATTTATGTATATAAAGAGCTTTGCGCAGTACCTGCTTCAGAGTAAGCACTCATGATAAGCAGCAGCTCCAGGATTTAAAGAAACAGAAATTAGGTAAGGAAACCCCAGGGATGTAAACAGAAGGGTTCCATGTTCATATCTGTGTCTCCCACTGTATCAGGTGCTCTAGATATCCCATAAATATTTATTGAACATGAGCTCTGTTCTAGGTCATGGCCTTATAAATATGAAAGGTGTATAATCTGATAGGACCAGAGGCCAGTCAACCAGTGGTAGAATACATTCTAACAAGGGCTGGGTTTGAAGGTCCTGTGGAATCTAAAAGGGGACCTGATGTCACACTGGGAATATAGATAATAGTGCAGAGAACTTCTTACCTACCCTAGGTCTTATAGAATCACTAGTTAACAGCTGGGTGGATGTGGGTTTAAAAGGCTTTTCAGACAGTAAACAATATTTGTGATGTCCGAGAAGCACAAAAGATTGTGGCTACATCCTGAAGATGCTTGAATGGCAGGACAACTGGGTGTGTAGAGGCTGCAGAAGTCAGATTGTGAAGGCTTTGTGCATTCAGAAGTTAGAGCTTTATCCAGCAGATGATTAGGAGTCATTGAAGGATTCCAAGTTAGGAAATGACTTTAACAGCCTTGCCTTTTAGGAAGAACATTGTGTGGAGGAAGCAGTGGAGTGAATATCCTATTTCCTTGACATGGGAAGTTCTGAGGTTTGCAACTGTAGTACAGTTCCTGCTTCACAAGAGTCATAAAATCTTTATGTAAGAGGAGAGATGTGAATGAGGTGAGACTGGAGGGAAGGATACCTGTTCAACTACTGCAGTGATTTTGAGGGTTGTGTCCATGTCCTTCCTTGGGGCAGAGGAGCACCAGATTCAGGAGTCCACAGACCAGGATTTCTATCATGGCTTCACCAGTTTCTACAGTATGACCTGGGACAGGCTTCAGGACCTCTTGTATCTTCTTGGTTTTCAAATTTGTAGAATGGGGATAAAAATCCCTACCTTACAAGGTAGGATGCTCTAAGGATTTGATCATATAGGTGTAAAAAGCGTGATGCTGGGCTACTAGATACTTAAGGGACTTTTTATAATAAAAATGATAGTTTTAAGATTCCTAATGTTTAGTACATTATTTGATTCATGGTAGGTGATCATTAGCCTTAAATAGTACCACCTACAGATAACCATTGCTAGCATGGTTTTACTTACACATCTTCAGTGATTAATGAAGCTGTTCTGGGAATGTTAGGCATGAAGGAATTATTCTGAGATCAGTAAGGAAAGAGTCAATACAAATGTCAAACTAACTTAAACATTCTTTAAATGCCAACAAATTATATATGGTTGTCAGCTGTTCTGAGCCATCTCTCAGGAGTAACACGTGCATGTGTGCACACACTCCTGCTGCTGGTGTTATTTTTTTATTT